TGAGGTTAGATACTAACACTGTTGGATGCTGGCTCCATGGTCTAATGGTTAAGAGAGTTTTGGGTTCGAATCTTGCGAGGTGGTATCGCGGACGCGCTTTGCTGAGGAGTCTCACAATAGAAAGAAACGGGCGTCTAGTGCTTCCAGGTTTTCCATGGTGGTCTAGCTTCAATTGGCTTATGATCTCAACTACTGAAATTACTATAATATCTACAAAACCCTTCTGATATAAAACAAAAAGGTTAAGCACATTTTATAATTCAAGGTATCCGGACTGTACACATTACATACATACTAACTCATTTTGACTCTAAGAACTGTTAAGTTTGGATTTCTTTTAGATCACTAGATAGTAAATCCAAAGTCTTACTTTTCAACTATAAACACCACGATATAAAAAGATGTTTATCTTATTATTGCCTTACAAAACTGTTTGAAATAATTTAAACAAAACTAGAAAAACAAGTTAGCGCCAATACAATAAGCAAAATAAAATATATTAAAGAGAAAATTATAATTGGCAAATATTAATAATATCATCTGAACTATATATACTATATTAGCCATAGAGAATATATTGTACTAACAAAGGTATATTGTGTTATGTCACGAATTAACTGGTGTCGGAAATTCAAACCGTCGACTATCAACAAATAATTTAGTACATAAACATTTAAATGACATATGGATGATCTAATGTGAGCCATCAGTTGCTTTACTATTACAGATATTACTTGCTAAGAATCTCCAAATTACACGAGACCTAGTTCTAGGACCTCGTGATGATGGCTTTCAACCACCTATTAGTTAAACATTGTGAATACAACATCAAATTATTTATAATGGTGGATACATTGTAACGACATCGATGGGTTTTTTCAATATTTAACAAGCTAGTGCTTAATCATTCTAGAAAGCGAGTCCCCTAGTTTCTGCATTTAACATCAACAACTATTCTTTTTGGCTTCAGATGAAATTGTGAAGTAAATTTGTTCATGTTAAATTTTCAAAGTATATATTAAATCTGCAAACTGATTCAATATGAAACAAATAATTTAATTGTAATATAAGTTCAAATGATATACATTATCCGAATATCCAAGCAGCTATCTGATAATAATAATCAGAGTCAGTTGATTTATGTTTTTGTACCGCTATATTCCTTGCGTTCATTTATACCATTTATTCAAGCTGTTTTTTTTTTGATATCCTTTATATTTATTTTTTGTTAAGCAACAGGTTTCATAAACTTCATAATAGTATCTACGCTTGTATGTGGATTTTTTTTTAGTTCAGTCAAATCAATTTACGTAATATGTACTCTTGATTACTATAAATGATTCTCAGTTATGGGTATACCAGGAAAAATTCAATAGCTTCATAATATGTCCGACTGGAAAATAAGTAGGGATAATTAATTGAATATTCACAAAACATTAAGTATTAAGATAGTTTGAACCTTTAAAATTAGTTTATAGAGAAATATAATTCAATTAAATGAAGTTATAGAAACTTCTATGATCAGCGGGAGGTTATACATCCAATTTACACTGTTTAATAAGTAATTTTTCAGTTCACTTAGTAGGTGGTTTCCAGATACAAGACTATAATTTACACTGTATGTGTTTTCCAAAAATCTAAATCTATCGAAATCTATTCACTTTAAACATCTCAGTTTAGAGCAGCCTAACATGCTGGAAAAAGAACACAAACATCGTGAAAATTGGGTCTTCAAATGAAATCTCCCATGAAAATTTCACAATTATATGCAAAATTCACAAACAAAATAGTAAGAAAAATACCTGAAAATCCATGTTTTTGTACTCTTATTGAACATCTGAAAATGAATGGACGAGCTTATTAAGCATATGATTAGATATATTTAGTGTTGTGCGCATATATTCAAGAAAATCATAACGTTTTTCTAAACTTTATATAAGTTGGTAACTAAATCACATTCCAAGTAAAAGTGATGATATTGATGTATCTATGAACCTTATTTATTGCTTGATGTATTCAAGTAGCCATAAAATAAGGATCCATAGTCAAAGGTTATTTTGACTCAGGAATCTGTATCTTTTCTAGGTATATATTTCAGTATTTTATTGATTGATAAAAATTAGTCACGATTTCGTGGTTTCATAGAGTAATGGTGTAAATAAGTGTGAAAGTGAAAGAAGTTGTGTATTAGTATCAGGATTGAATAGCGAAAATTTCACGAAATTTCTTAATTATATTTATATGATAAACATAAAGTATACATAATTTATTAATCACCACATCATCATCATCATCATCGTCATCATCATCATCATCATCATCATCATCATCATCATCATCATCATCATCATCATCATCATCATCATCATCATCATCATCATCATCATCATCATCATCATCATCATCATCATCATCATCATCATCATCATCATCATCATCATCATCATCATCATCATCATCATCATCATCATCATCATCATCATCATCATCATCATCATCATCATCATCATCATCATCATCATCATCATCATCATCATCATCATCATCATCATCATCATCATCATCATCATCATCATCATCATCATCATCATCATCATCATCATCATCATCATCATCATCATCATCATCATCATCATCATCATCATCATCATCATCATCATCATCATCATCATCATCATCATCATCATCATCATCATCATCATCATCATCATCATCATCATCATCATCATCATCATCATCATCATCATCATCATCATCATCATCATCATCATCATCATCATATCATCATCATCATCATCATCATCATCATCATCATCATCATCATCATCATCATCATCATCATCATCATCATCATCATCATCATCATCATCATCATCATCATCATCATCATCATCATCATCATCATCATCATCATCATCATCATCATCATCATCATCATCATCATCATCATCATCATCATCATCATCATCATCATCATCATCATCATCATCATCATCATCATCATCATCATCATCATCATCATCATCATCATCATCATCATCATCATCATCATCATCATCATCATCATCATCATCATCATCATCATCATCATCATCATCATCATCATCATATACTTTGTGATATTTGATTTATGTAACATTTAAGATATTACATCAATTGATAGTTTACAAAAAATGCCATTTATAAGTAAGCCAACTTGAACAGTTAGAAGTACATACATTCCTTGTTATTGTTACGCATTTAACCTTCAAACAAAGTAACTACGAATTCAATGTCACTTAATGACTAAAATAAAATACTTTTGGTGTAATGACCTTATGATCAAGAATTTACTATTTACGAAAGTGAATTCTGTATTATATAATATATTGTGTGTTGTTCTGTATCAAGAAGTATGTTTATATCAATGTTATTTTTGAATCAGAGTTATCATGTTTATCATAATCTTTTGACGGTGGCAAGTCTTTTGTTGTGTAAATTTCTATGTGTGAAATAATTTCGATGAAACCATTGATAAATGATCACTTGTTTTCGAAGATTTTCTTGATGATGTCAGTTTGTATCGAAAATTTGGCTCAAATTGTCAATCCGATTTCATGATAAGTCAATATCTCAACTGATAAGCTTCTTTTACTCAGAATCCATTATTTTAAAACACTTTGTGTCTTGTTATTTATCATTTACTATCTCTTCTGACGAATAAATAAATTCTAAAAAGTTCTGTGTATTGTGAATAATCAGATAAAAACACTCTCCAAAATTATATGTTCTAAGTTGAGACTTGATAACGAAACACTTAAACTTTGAAACTTAGAAAAATGTTGATAGCTGCTCGAAGTTCCATATCCCGAGTTTAAGAAACGGCCTTAATCTATTTACAAAGGCTGATGAAACAACGAATATCCTACAACGCATATTTTGATCATCCGTTTGAAACTACTTGTTAGTAGTTAAATTCTATTGTACTAAAATAATATGGAATGGTTATGAACATGAAGATCTCATTTTATCGTTTTCATCGCAAACACTAAGTAGAATATTTAATAGTTCTTTTAAAAGCTTGGTAGCGAGAAGCTTCTATTCACTGGATACTAGTAGACTAAATCAGTTCAAATAAATAAAATAAAATGACTCAATAAAAGCATATAATAAACTTCCAACTTCCTCCACTGCCAAATACATACTTGAAACAGATCATAAGATTGATTTTAACTTGACTTCTTTGGTGTTTTACAAAAGTCTTAGAGAGCGTATACTATGGTTCATTGAAGCCTTAGCCAAACGAAAATTCAAACTCTCTTTATGTATTCAAAAGCAGTTTGTTCTCACCTTAAACCTCCACTGGTAATACCAGTTTATTATCCGGAAAACTGCAAATTTAAAGTGAGCAGAATTGTCTACTTTTGATTGTTACGTAATCAAGACACTCAGTAAGTTTAAATAATCCCATATGTTACTTATTATACAATAGTAGTATGCAATGATACATACTGAATCCTAAAGCAAATATCAAGTTTTCTTAATCCTACATGACATATTTATTTCTAAACTGTTAGCTAAGGTAAAAGTTTTTAATAATTATACTTTTTTAATTTTAGAATCACCTTTCGGTAGTGTAAAAGGAGATGAACAAGATTCATTTGGCTTCCATGAGTATGATTCACAATTATCAACTCCGGAAGCCAGTTTAATAAGTAAGTTACCATTATCATTATACCAATATATCATAATTGAAATTCTCTTCAGGTAAATATAACGAAAATTCATCATTAATTGATTGAGTAAACTTGAAAATAATTATTAAAATCTTCAAAACTTTTTTCTATTGCATGTGCATGTGAAGGATTATCTTTGTGTTTACGGCTCCAGAAGATAATACAAATTATTGATTTTTCTGGATAAATATTACAAAAAAATGGAGAATAGACATAACAAACCCAATCCATCCTCTGTAATTTGTTTGAATAGATCAAAATATTTTTATACTAATTTCAGCATGACTACAGATGAGTCCAAAGATGCTTATAATGATTTCTATAACAGGTCTTTCATTAATCGAAATAATTGTTATAGCAATAAATATGGTAAATGCGAAAATTATATGGAATCATGATCAAGACAAATAATGAGTTCCCTAGAAATCAAAGACAAGAAGCATATAATAACAGATTGAAAAATCCGTCTAAGTCATTCCGTTTAGATCCACATCATGATAAATATGAACTTTATTCATCGGAAAAAAACATTTATAACTATGATAAAAATGAATATTCAAAGAATATCTATCGTAGTAATAGTTGTAAACATAACCATACCAGTGATAATTATGGACCATTTACACCAGAATTGAACAGAGAAATATCAGCAAGGAAATCATCTAAAATAAATCATCTTGTAAATTTATTGTATAGCAATTCAGAAGAACGAAATAAGCAACATATCATAACTAATAATAATACTGGTAATAACAGCAGGTAAATAAAATAGAAATCATTGAATAATAATAATAATAACGAAATTTCATTCCTTCGGTTTTTTGTGTCAAGACCATTATTTGATTAATCGAATGTAAGAAATATCATCTCATTTAGCGAATTTCATTGGTTAATAAAAATAACTATGATTTACTGAGGAAAAAAGGCTGACAGTTTGTGTTAGTCTTTTTTTAGTGAGCTGCTAGGAACGTCGATTTTATACTGAATAAGTCAGTTAAAAATAAAAGTAAAAAAATCTCTTCCTGTGTACCAAGGTGAACTTGTCAGATTCTCAACGTTTTCCTGACTTACCTGGAAGCATGAGAGAGGATATATCAAATTAAAATTCATTTCTTAGTATCCTACACATCAAAACTGGATCATTTCTTATTCAGCGAAACACATAAAAAAGGGTATAACGTTTTAAGACACACTGCGTATGATAAACCGCAAAATTCTGGAATTGCACGAGTAAGTACTACTACTACTACTACTACTACTACTAAAATTTAAATAATCGTTGAAAATTTGGTCATATTGATCGTCATATGATCGTCATTTCTTATTCATATAAGGTAGAACATTAGCAAACAGTTGTTTAATTTTGAAATCTGGGTTTGAATCACTTAAATATGTATCATATGTATATGACAACATTTCCAAAACCCTTTTAACCACAAAGTTCGAAACAACCTGGCAGTATACATCTCTCTTAGAAATTCAATGTTAGCTTCGTCACTACGTATGACTGTCAAGTATGAGTGAGTGTAAATTGTTATTTATTAATCTTATAATATTTTAATTCAAACAAGATGGTTTTCAAGTTTTACTACATTCAAACTTTAGTGAATTCATCAGTGAGCGAACAATTATGAACCATTCGTAAGTCAGCCACATGCTTTGTATAGGAACATTGACAGGATGAGATTGTAATTTCAGAAATAGTGTAAGGGTGTAAGTTTATGATTATCGAATTGATATTGTCTCATAAAAACCCTCTTCAGTATGACACTTCGAGATATTTCCAATAAGTGTTTGAATTCACACTAGGTTAGTCCACCAAAACGTAGACTACATGAGATTTCTTTAGAAAAGAGGTAGTGTTCAATATTCTTTACAAGATTCCCATATTTTCATATCACCTGTCTCTTCTATTAAAGTTGAATAAAACATGTATCTTTTTGTTTTTCTCTGAGTTCATATTTCCCGATTCATTAACTAGCTGTTTATACGTGTTTGTGTTATCCTGTTGTCGGTATCACGAGCTGCTATTGATCAGTCCTTTTCGGTATTCGAGCATCATTAGAAAAAGTTGCCCTAAAAATCGTCTTTAATTGCAAGTTTTTCTAGACTTGAATAGTAGCTGTTCGTGCAGTCTAGGATGTGCAACCTGTTTACGACTCTGATTCCGGATGTAAAATCTAGAGAATGTATGAACTCATGGGATCAGTCGATACTCCGTTAAGCGTTTGAATTAAGAGCTAGTCGATGCGAATTTCGTTATGAACATTAATGCTGGGATTTAGGTATATTAACTTAATGAGTCTCAAACAGTATGAAACGCGTGTACTCAATCCCACTGTTGGAAACTATCCATCAGAAAACTCTTGGTTAGTGATGTGACTAGTGTCTCTGTTCCCAATGACATTCAGCTATCAAAAAATAGTGAGTAACGTTAATCATTCGTATTATTTATTATATGGGTAGTGAAACATTTCTGTTTGAAGACATTTTCATGTTACAAATTCAGGTGTATGTGACTGGATAGACGTCGAAAACTGCTCTTCAATATAGTTCACAATATGCATATTCATTTGAAGAAAAAAACCAGATATGATAAAGGTACTTCAAAACAAACTAAAAACTGTCAATAAGTAGATAATCTTTCATTCACAGTTTTGAAGTTCGAGATTACTATGTCTAACAATGACTGAATGTCATACTAAATTTCAGTGCATTTAAATAGCTTTTGTTCATCATATAAATTAACCAAACTGTACAATATGTATAACTTTTATGAGAGTTTATGAATTAAGTTAAACTACTCACTATAATTAGATGTAATGTATATTCTTTGTTTGTAACGTCTCTGCATACCTATCATGACATATTCAACTATAAAAGCCACATCATATGACAAGTATCAACAAGCATTTTATCACTATGATAATTGTCTGGTTTAGATACAAATTGTACCGTAATATTCAGTAGCCTTTATTGGACATTATATTTCAATTGTGCTTTGAAATATCATTATCATAAATTCGCTTATAACAGTCTACACAATATATATACATACAAATGATTGGTTAATATGAAGGTCATTTGAAGATAACTAATCACATTTAAAGTTATAGATTAACTACAAACCAATCAGGTATCTTCTTTGTAGAATCAACATTGAACATATTTCATTTTAACTTTTATTCACCAACAAAATGTTTTCTTTAATTAATTTGAATTTAGGCCCATAAATTCATTAGAACAAAGTGGTTTACCAGAGGGTAATCAAATAAAAATTCAAAATAAATCATTTTCCGGGAAACTACCTAGAACAATCAATTATTCATTTAATTTACATCAAAATAATAAACAAGTCGAAAATACCATATTAAATAATAATATTATTATTCAAAAAGAAAATAACAGTGAAGAGAGTTATCCACAAATGTCAATTAGAGAAAGGTAATGATAATCTTTACAATATTTCTATGTTGTTATACAATAGTGACAATGACATATTTGTCAACTATAGATACTTAAATTGTTGTTGTTGTTGTTTTCTTGTCCTTAAGACGTGTATATACAAGTTAAATGTTGTCTGATTACGTGCAATTTGTTTACTGAATTCAAAGTATGTAAATATAGTCCATTCTAGTCAGTTTTGATATATTCAGTTTCTAATAGATTTGTCCTGAATAAACTAAAGATTTGAAAACATTGTTTAATGTGTAGCTAATTTTCTACCATGTACTGATATCAAATGAAGAATTAGTGGAAACTAGTAAGCATCTGACACTTTTTGTTTTTCATTTAGGTTTATCAGTCTATAGTATTGCAAATCAAAAAGTTGACTACATTTAAAACTGTAGATCAGTTAACAATGAATTATGTCAAGAGATTTCCAAGGGTATTATATGTATAATTGTCATTTTCGATTATCGTCATAATTTTATCTTTTTTTTTAAATGTTGGATCAATTTACAACTCATTTGTACAGGTTCTTAGAAGTCTAACAACCAAATGAAACAGTTATAAGTGTCAAGACTTTATGGAACCTAAACACTAACAAACTAATTTATTCGGTTATCAAGCACCATGTGAAAAGTAGAGTTTCTTACTTTCAATACAGTCTAAATACTTTGAACACCTGAAATTGAATTAAGCCCATATGAATTTCATGAACTTTGTGATGGAACATTATCTACAAGTAATCATCAAAACTATTTTATACAATTATCTTTCTTCATACCATCTATAAACTATCTGTACAATAATGGAAACTGATTTAGTTAGTAAATACGCGTGATTCTCTGTTTCATAGTTATTTTGAACTAGACAATATGGTGCTATTCCGTTTATGAAATATTTAATATGAATATAAATATCGGTTAACCAATCAATTGTATAAATGTAGAGAATAACAATATTAGCTTTTGACAATGACCTTCAAGGAAAGATAGTTTCTTCTTATTATATCAGTAAACATAATAATATAGTTGACTAAATTTACCTAATACATTATGATTTTGTGTAAAAAAAACTATTATTATATATCCACCGTGATACTGACGATACATTTGTAAAAAATCTTTCTTTCCTATCCTTTTAACCATTTAAACAGGATTGCTTGTATTCAACAGAATACTTTAAATTGGAGAGAGCGCGTTGAAAAAGAAGAACCAAATGTAGATAGATCATGTGATATCAATAAAATTCGATTATCATTAGTTGAGAAACAAGAATCTTGGAAACAACGTGTTGATTATAAAAATGATTATGATTTTCCAATATTTGAACGAAATAAAAAAAGTTAGTGTGTGTAATACAATGTGATCTATTTTATTCTGTATTCAAATTTTGCTCTTAAAAAGAATAAATTTCAATAGAATAACACAATACATAAAAATGATACGACAAATAGAACCATATATTTAAGCTTAGTCAATTAGTTATGTATTTGAATTAGTAACTATTGTTATGTTGAATGGTGCTTAGTACTGACTGAATTCCATTTTAGTCCTACACCAGGTTATACAAAACATGAATAGTATGTTAATAAATCCTTTGATTATAACATCAGCTGATGATAGTAATAATCCAACACTAAATATTGATCCCCTGAAAATTGTAGATACCCGTTGCTGTTCAGGGAGTCAAACTATTAGGAAATTCGGTTATGGAGCTTCACAGTCAGAAACGGCACTAATGAGGTATTTGGGAGACGACTGACATTTAAAACTGAAATGCAATTAACCGATCATTGATCATTGACCAATGTCATGTATGCCAAGTTCTTTGCGCTGATCACAATCTATCTATTAGGTCACAGTGGCCCTACTGGTCTAGGTGGCTTGAAATTAGTGGTAACATCTCTGACTGTGAAGATGTGTGACATGGGTTAAATTCATCAAAGAGCATCAGTTTTCTCAAGATTACAGGTATATCTTGAAGACAATTGCCAAATAGAACAAAACTCAGGTCCAACGTTTCCTGTCAACTACCTCTAACCACCACTTTGCATCTTTATATGGTGCACGCGATGTCAAGTCACTTTGACTAACGGCCATATCACAACTTGATCAATAAAATCCGATCAACACTAAGAACGGCATGATGTTTATTAGATTGGTCACTATCTAGTGATCAATCAATTGTAAAGAAATTATTTTAAATTTCAAATAAAAGTATCTACCAATATGACCAATGTGCTTTATGAACGTTTTTTTAAAAAATAAACATAAGGTCAGCAAGATATTCCTAACTCATTTATTTTCTAAATTTTCATGATGAATAATGTATAATGTGATGTTGAAGTGATTTAAATGAGTCAAATGGGCGTGTTCTACATATGATCTAAAAAGAAATTACTGACCATATAATAAACATATATGATTTTTATCCTAAGGTCATAACTGCATTAGATGGGTTAATTGGCTCATTTATAAATAAGTTGCCTTGGCATTTGATTGATAAAACTTTACAAACTTTCCTGTGACGAATATTTCTTAGTAAACGGAATACACCCATTGATACATTAAATAATAAAGATGGTTTCAGCAAAGAGTTCTCTTTCCAGCGAATTCATTTCCAATATTTCTGATTTGCACTGTGCTTTATTCATATTAAAATTACTTACTTACATAATTACTTGCACCTATTACCCCTCGGAGAGGGGCACATGTCGCCCATCAGCACTCTTCATCAAACTCTGACTTAAATAATCCTTTCCAGTTGTTTCCTCTTCATCTGGAAGCTAGTTTGTTCTCTCACATAATAGACTTTTGCTGATGGTATCAGGCCAACGAACATTCAGTATCTTACGTAGACAATTGTCTATAAATATTTGTACGTCTTTGTTGATGGTTGTGGTAGTTCTCTAATTTCAGCTCCGTACAGTAAAACCATCTTGACGTTCGTATCGAAGATTCTGATTTTGATATTGTTATTAAAATTGCTACTGATATGATTAATTTTTAAATTTTGTTGAGAGATTAGAAGGTTAGTTTAGGTATTTACATGCATACTGAATCACTGGTTTTATAAGCACATAAATAGTATGTTATTATTGATTCATTATTTCTTAGTAAAATACGCAATTAATACGTTGAATATTCAAATTTAGGAGTGAAATATACACATATATCATAGTGACTAAATCAACTAGATTTAAGCAAGTGACTAACTATAAGACATTCCTAGCTTTGCTTATCATTCCATTCATAAATAATTGACTTCAAATCTATTTTATTAACGCTAAACCCGGTTCACATAACAATGTAACATATTCTAATACTTACGTTAAAATTAAAATGATAACAGTCAATTAGAAACAAATTATTTGAAAGATATCAAGTTGAAGTCTTTCTAATAATTTATGACATACTACTCTTAGAAAAAATCTCTTTAAAGTTAAGTAGTTGAGTTGACTAGTGTTGAAACAAAGTGTTCAGTGCACTTTTTCAAAGAATAATAATTGAATTATTGCAAAACTTTACATTCTTGAGTTAGTTAACTTTTAAATGATATTTTTAGCTTATATGAGAATTAAATCAAAACGACTGTCATCAATTTTTATATAAACGTTATGGATCTAACAAATAAAAGTGTCTGAATAGAGGTTGTGGAGAACATTAAGTTTTTGATTGAGATCATGAACCGTGTGATGTTAGACCACCATTGAAAACCTGAAAGCACTGAACGACCGTTTCGTCCTATTGTGGGACTTCTCAACGGTGCGCATACACGATCCCGCTCATGGTATTCGAACCAAGGGCCTTCAGTCTCGCGAGCGAACGCTTAACCTACTGGATCACTGAGCCGGCATCCAGTGGTTTTAATGTCTAACCTCAACCAGTCCACGAGGTTGCGCAAACATCTTCCATTATAAGGAGGTGGATACCTGTCTCTACCCGACACGGATTAGCTACACTGGTCACGGCTTCTCACTAGAACTCTGAGAATTCCAGCGCTTCCAGGTTTTCAATGGTGGTCTAACATCAATCTCAATCTAAAAGTGTCTGAATTTATTCACAGTTAAATAATTATGGTTACATTAGTGTTTTTGGGATACAATGTAACACAGTATTATAAGATACTTTAAAAACTTTTCTAAGATCTTGGGTTGCTCTTTAGCTATGTATTATATGAATGGAATTCATAACCTTTATTTGATTACTTCCATACAAAAGTCAGTTGATACCATATTTGATTGTATGAAAACTACTGAAATGTAAGATATTTCAATCGAGGCCTTGTAGTTTTTTAGATATTCATGATTTAATAATGCTGTCAAAAAATAATTAGGTTGTATGATATTTATGACCATAATAATTTATATACAAAGATTACAGGTTTGTTCTGCCTGATTTGTAACGATGGTGGTTAGAGACAATTTATTTATGATTCAGTGTATTACATCTAGAGGTTAGACTCTTGACATAACGCGTACAACTTTAGCACTCGAACACTAGAACCCTCCAAGTCGCAAATGAGAAGACAGAAGATAAATGAAAAGAATGTTATTCCAGTGTTAAATATGGTACAAACCTCTCAGGTATTATTCGTATTTATAGTAAAAACGAAATCATCATTATGCTCATCCAATCCGCATACAGGTATCTTTAGCATTTGCCCAGTAGGGAAGATATACGTAGAGATTCTGAAGTATTTTTTTCAAGATATGATCGAATGGAGTGTCTCCGGCTCTTTCGGAGCTTTTTTGAGCTTCGTCGAGTTCATCTGTGGACCGTCCTTACAGAATGCAAAATTAATTCATAATTAATTAAGATTTCCCGTTATATCTTTACTAAACATGTTAGATACATAAAGGTATGTTTCAGTATAAGGAAATGTATCTGTTGTTAGAATGATATAAATATTCAATTTTGTGATATCTATTCCGTCTATTTGTTGGGGTATTTTTAACAAAAAATGATCAGCAGTTTAAAAGTGGATGCTTAACTATGAAATGCCATCCAATGCTTCCAGATTTTCAATGGTGATCTACCTTAAATCAACTCATGAATTTAACTAATGAAATTATTACAATCTACACAAAAAACCCCATTCTGATTATGATCAATGAATTTTAGAATTTCAGATCGATAACTTAAATATTAATCAGAAGATGTAGAGAATATAATTATTTATGAAAAAGGATGTTCATACTGTTGTTTATATATTTAAATTAACTTGTAGTTTCAGTGGATCCGGATTATGACCAGAAGTGAAATCCAAGACTCATCAGCTGGTTGTACCTACTAAGACTCACTCCTAATATATGTTGCTACTAGTGCATTGGTATCTGATGTGACAGATACTGGGTTCGAGTGTCGTTGTGATGATCAACACTAGGAAGCATTTACATTAAATTGAGAAGTCTACGATAAGACGAAAAATATAACTTGGATTCCTTTGCAGCTCACAATCCAAATATACTGAAAATTTTGATCAAAAGTAATTTTTAGATAGTTTACTCAATGTTTTACATGAATGAATGAGTATAAACTAATTGGGGAGCTAAGTTTAAACAGTTTATATCCATTCACTTCCCATCATCTAACTTCTTTATAGATCAATATTGCAATTACTAAGACGTTTAACTATAATCTCAGATTTCATTCTTCTGTCCTTGTAGCAAATGACTATACTAGTCTAGAACCTCTTCCACTGAAATGTCTTCATTCACAAGATCTAACAACAAACACATCGAAATGTTTACCAGTTGAACCAATAATACGCAATACTAGCAAAGAAAATCGTTCAGGTAAATGATAATTTTTTTATTTACCAATGAAATAATAAAATAATTTACGGATTAATTAATGAAATAAAGCTGTCAGTTAGAAATAGAACGTGACTTATTGTAATAACAACTTGATATTGTTGATGTTGGTGAAACCTGAGACTTTGAATAATTATGTTTATAATCCATTTAACTTACAGTTTAATAAGAAGGAAGGAAAGATGAACCAGATGTTTGTGTTTGTTAGCACGAAGTAATGAGTTTTGATTTTGACACTCATGCTAAAATTTTGAATTTCACCAGTTTTAGTAAATAATGTAATATATTACTAATTATAGAAAGGATCTAACTGTTATTTACTCTCTAAGTAACATCAGCTAGTTATAAATGAGAAATTCGTCAATTATTTGATATGTATTCAAAGAACAAGATACCTTTATTCGTTATGAATCGGTCCTACTGGAACATTTCAAGTAATTTATTACATTGTAATGAAAACGTTATTGATTTGTACTGATATAGATATAAGAAAACTTTACCTTTTAATACAAAGCTTGAATTTTCCCAGAGGCCACGGTTAAATTCAGTACAATTGTATGGAATAGTAAACTTTTTAACTTAATCTTATTCTTTTAGTTCCGACAACATATACTTTCATTAGTTACTTGTTAGGTGAACTATACAATAGTGTTACATATTAGAATATTAAACTCAATTACAAGATGAAATTCTATAAATAATTAAAAAAAACAGACGTTTTGAAGCAGATAACTAAAATTGAAATTCATGAATCCGGTCTGTAATTTTCATACTGTTAGTTTCTAGAATCAAATTTTTTAAAAGTAAATAATTATCATAGGATCACTCCATTTGGCGTCTTCTAATAACTTTATAAATTGGATGTTTAGTAAAAGTAGTTTATGGGAGGAAAGTGTATAAATGAATTCGGTTTATTGATGAAGTTAAATAAACACTTTCTACAAGTATAAGAATGTTATATAAATAGAACTAGAATAAGCCAATGAATTCGTGATGCCATTAGCCATAAGACACATGCTTGAAAGCTGTTAACAATATTTATTATAATCATTATGATTACTTCACATCTGTATTTTCTAATTATTACAAATGTCTACATTTTCAACTAACATAGTAACACAAACTTGTGTTTTATGACGTCATGACCGTTTCAAACAAAAAAATATTTTGATAAATCAAACTTGTTTGGTTGTGAAAAGGGTTCATAATCATTTAGATCAGATGAAGTACAAGTGTACACAAACTGGTATCAGCTAGTGAGCCATTAAAAAATCAAAAGAATATTGTTCTAATTTTGCTATTTTTTTCACACCTATGTCTCTCTAAAGAATCGGATAGGTGGTTTTAAGTCTTCCTTATTAACAAATTACTAATGCATAATTTAATAGTTTACCTTTTCAATGTAAGCCATAATTTAGATATATCACTCAACCGTTGTCAATTTTTATTGGTGATGTCCGTCTTATCCCAGTCGTGGTTAAACTCTGTCAAATACAACTTCTGTCTACAATTTCGTAACTTATTTTTGAAATCAGCCACTAATGAGCACAACTTATCCATAAAATTTATAGACATTTATGGCTAGTTTAGTGTACACAAAAATTGAGTGGATTCAATGCATTTTACTATGATTTATGTTCTTCATAAAAAGGAGAATTGTTAAATATATGTTTCAGTAGTTGAAATCATGAATCATTGAAGCTAGACCACCATGGAAAACCTGAAAGTACTGGACGGCCGTTTCGTCCTAGCATGAGACTTCAGCAATGCGTATCCACGATCCCGCCTTCTGAAAATATATATTTGTCTAAGTACCTATATAGTAATTTATCGCAGTTAATCGTATTCATTATGGTGTTTTAACGACATTTTTATATAATGAAACTGTAATTATTATCAATTATACGGTTTTTAGTTCTTTTTTCTAATGAAAATTGCATTCTATTTAAAGTCATGCAGTTAGTTGGAAGTAGTTGATGAGTGTCCTAATTAAATTGCGAAGTTATCGAATTGCTTATCAATATAAAATTATTTGCGATTATTAACTGGAAGACTTGAGTTTTTGGGTTTAAGTGTTTATATCTTCTTACGATACAATATATTACCTAAAAAATGATCAAAACAACTTACAGCTATAACAATAATAATTATGCTTATAATGTGTTGAAATATTTTTGTTAATAGTAAGTAGTAAGATTTTGTTAGAGAACCTCTCTTGTTACTAGATGAACGATAGACTTGAACAATGAATTTATATCCAGTCAACATTGTCACATTTTCAGTCAGTATATATGGGATCGTCGAACAAACACATAGGGAAAAACAATGGGGCAAATTTGATCGTGAGCATACACCAGGAGACTAGAGAGTCTCAAAATAAGAGAAGCTTACAGATGTCAAACCAGTCAAAAGTTACTTGTAAGAGTATATTCATAAAAATATATACATATTTTAAAATATGAGAAATGGACATTCGACAGACATCACTTGATGTAGTCAGTTAAAATGACAATTCAGCACAAATTAAAAACTTACAGTGCTCACTAGATTGATACACTTTCATGATAATCTTCTCAAATGCAAAAGATACAACAAGATTAATTTATTGGTCGATTGACATGTTAACTTCAAGATGAAGAAATGTGGTAAATCTTTCAGAACTCAATAAAACCTAAACATTGATCAAACAAACTCATTCTCAATGTAAAACGTTTGTTAATTAAATAGTAAGCAGTATTACTTTTAAGGAGATAACATCAATTGCAACTAGATAAGACTATTTGTTAAGTACTGTAAAATTATAATTCTAGGTAAAATTCGAAAAAAGGAAGTTATAATAACTTGGTATTTTTAGACTGATAGTTTTATAAGCCATTTTAGATTTTAAAATTATCAGTTTGTTATTACCAATAAGTTGACTGGCTATAGAACCGTCTAAAATGACTTTTCTTATTTACAGTTTTTTTAACTCCATGCCCAACCCTTTTCTTTTACTTGGGTTTTGAATCGTCCGTAACTGTCGAAGAATTTCATCAGGAATTGATCATAGAGACCAATAATAGATTATACTAATTAATTAACTAATATTATCATTATATGTGAAAATTATATTTGAAATAATCTCAGCAATAATTTCAACGTTTCATCCAGAAAACTTGTCTGAACTTCTTCAGGATAATATTCAAAATCAAAATCATCAAAGAAATATATAGCGTTTACCAATTATGATTATTACTCTGAAGAAGTCTAGACAAGTTTACTGGACGAAACGTCGGAATTATTTTAAATTACAATCACTGAGATTATTTCAAACATAATTTTTCACATATAATGACTTCTCTATACTCGGCGCTCAATTTTATCAAACTATTCGTTAGAATATTGACGAATATTCGTATTACCTAATGTTATATTACCTCAATTACAATTTTAAACTAGCCACTGATGAGACACTGGCTATATTGCTTATCTGAACTAATTAAATGCATCTGAGAAATAATTGAATTAAATTTATCTTACAATGATGGTGATGATGATGAGGGGGAGTAAGAATGTGACAAATTTTATTTATTTATTCCATTAACTTTTAATCTGTTAGGAAAGTTTAAGAGGAATCCTGACAATTAAGTGGATGTGTTAGCGATTTGTGAATATGAAACTTTACTGATTATATTCTGTAATCAATTATTCTCTGAAGATTTTACTCAATCATAAAAATATTTTCAAGTTTTTCGATGACCAAATTACTGAATACGTGCAATACTTGATGAAATGGTACATTATTACAAATTAAATTGTCCCTTTTATGAAATCACATTAAATGTGGAGATTATAGGCTTAAACTCATTCTTCACCGTTATAATTTAAGAGACTATATAAAATAATGTTTGGAACTGATGATGTTTGATATGAATATACAAACGTTGTACTATACATACTTAACATCTGTCACTTAATCAAACATACATTTTTGTATTGCCTCATAGGATTCTCCACTAATTCAGTACAGCAACCAGGATTTTTCTGAAGTATATGGAAAAGTCCTTGAATAGCTAAGTGATAATATCTTTGGCCTTGCTACAGGTTTGAACTCGATGGATAGCATTCATTCTGTTCAGATCCCAAATATACCTAGTAATAAGTATCAGTTATTGTAAGATCTAGGTCGAGAGCTTCTTGCAAGTTGGATCTAATCACCTAACATGTAGGAAGACACCAGATCGCACATTAGTAGAACTGCCTATTGTCAGTTTCCTGGTCCGTATTATAGATTTCACCCCATTATATTCATTTATATTGTCTTGAATGTTCTGTAAGTGTATACTGAACATCGGATGAGATCTAATAATAACTCTACTTAATGCAGTGAAATATTTATAACCTGTATTTCATAATTTCTCTTCAACAAACATTATGTTGGAGAACTTATTGCTAGTAAATATTATTCCTGTATCTGAATTTACGTGGAATGTCAATTTTATCTTTTTGAAGAAGTCAAACATCAAGAATCATTTACGACAGCCGATCCCATCACTAAACCTACTACCATAACGAAGCCAAGCCAAGTTGTTAGACAGGTGAGATTTTCTCTTTTTATCCCATTTATCACTTTGATGGTTACATATTTTTTACTGCGAATAACGTCAATAATTAGCTAGTCAATTGACTTTATTTAGAAAGTAATTTTCTCTTTCAATCATCAAGTACACTTGTTGATGTCGGCTTATAATATAAACCGTAACAACACGGAACAAATTAAACTCTATCCTTTCTCACCATAAAGGTCACATATTTTTCATCCTTAACAGAGCACACTTACATATACACGAATTTGCATACATCTCGCTTATGAATCACCTTGACCGAAATGACATGACATTGATTTATTCAGACCTGTTTTTTGATTGATCACATTTATCACTATTTAAACTTGGATTAATTTCGATTTAGTTGTTTATTCTCTGAAGAAGTAGCTTACACTAAGTCACGAAACGCCGGAAAATCTAATTTTTCTACTCATCGGGATATTAAAAATATATTATTTATCTAGTACGGAATATTGTTCATTTGTTGAAAATTTTCCTCGAAACTATAAGAACAAAAGTTAAAACTCTTTGATCAAGGTGAACGGTTTAAATCATGATACAGAAAAGTTAAACACAAATAAAGCAACCTGGAATTTATGTACTTATATGTTTTACTTCATGACCATACCATATTTTAAGCATGATGTCATTTTACTTTTTAAGGCGTTCATATTTCCAAAAATGTTAGCGTACCTACCATGGAAGATAAAGAATTAACAGATTCTTCACCAGTAAAACGACTATAGAAACAACTAGTGCAGTTGGACCAGTTAAGCTTCCGACTTTGCCTTCGCAACCAAATAAAGATTTGAACAACGTGTATGAAAGGTAAGAGATTGTAATATTTAACAAAAATATGAATAATGTTTTATTATGACACTTATTGTTAGCAACTTATTATTATCATCATTACGGTTAATAACGTATATTGAACCTTTGATTGATTGGAAAATTTTGAGCATTAACTACTAATGAAGGGAGAGTTACGCTTACATTATTAATCTATTGGCCTTGACTATATATCAGATTTTCGCCAGTCACATTTCATTATAATGCAGAAATAGATGAAAACGACAAGGCTTAATCATAAGTCTATAAAACTGAATATCCAAATATTTAAGAAAAATATGTTCCATATTTACAAATGAAACATACAATGAAGTTTTAAATTTATATTTAATTATATTTTTAAAGGATAGCTGATGCACGACGTGCTGCTAGACCAGAAAAACGTAAACCTCCACGGGACTTAAAAAATCCTTTAAAAGCTTTAGAACAGAGAGAAAACATAAAATCGAACTATGAAGAAATTCGTACACCTTTGGAAGCTATTTCAACAGATCAAGAATCTGGTAAACATATCACACCGTTTAAAACATTATTACGTACAGTGGATCCATCTGTCAGAACTGACCTAGGTAAATTACTTTTTACAGAATAATAACCATATTATTTACTGATATTTTAGTTAAATATGCTTATTCAATGGAACGTAGTTACTAAATAATTGTAACATATTCCAGTACTAAAACTTACAATACGTTAAAGTTTACTTTTTTTCAAATTCAAGACATATATGAATTGTTCTGGTCTATACACTATTAGTTTGCTAAGCCATTTTTAGATGTTAATAAAAACCGTTTCTCTAGATCCAGCTACCTGAAATCAAAGAAGTACACTTTACTTTGTGTTTCCAATCTGAAATACGAATTTATATGTAGTGTGTTAACTTTCTCGTACACCTCCTGTAAACATTTTTTCTTCTTACAAAAATTAATCTTTCTACTACTGCTGACACTATTAGTGTCGTGAACAAGCACATGGATGGGCACAACCAAATGTGTTCGGACACTAAATTACAGAATCTCTTAGTAAAATCTGAGAACTATATAGTAAATACTTCATTTGAAAAATTTCTATCAATTGTCTTAGACTTCATTGTTTCCACACCGATCATTCTCGGTTCCCGTTATGTTTTCTTCGATCTTCTTGACCTGTTACCGTCATATATTTCACTTCCTATTGATGATACATACTTTATATATCTGTCGACATCAATAGCACACACTACACCATATTACTACTTCTACTATTTTGAGCTTTGTGTTGATAACTTTATAGCACTGGGTTAATTTGTTGTGTCAAATTGAACTGCCTCTCATGTGTTTATACAGTCCTAATTTCATTTGACTGACCTGTGACTAAGTTACTTCTAAATTGTTTTCGGTTAAATTAATTTGAGGGAAAAAACACAGAAAACATATGCATATCTTACTTACTACTTACTTAGGCCTGTTACTCCAAATGGAGCATGGGCCGCCGACCAGCATTCTCAAACACGCCTTGTCCTGGGCGTATGCATGTCAGTAGTTAATAAAAGTTTATGATAACTTCAAGGTTATAGGAATGGCAATTTAAAAACTAAAGATAAACAATCACTTCCAGAAAGAAATAGAACTCGTTTTAACTAGATAAATAACTTAGAAAATGAAAAGTTCTCATACGTTTCTACAAGAATCCACTTTAGTTTTGTTTATATTAGATAAATAAAATTGAAGAAACAAGTGTTTAACAAAAGAAAAATGAACAATTCAGCTTAACTAACTGTATTATTTCACTATAATGTTGATGTTTAGATAATGTGTCTCATAAACAAAGTATCTTTTACTAAAGTAATCTGATTTTTTTTTATGATGTGTCAAAAAAAGAGATGAAATATGCTCATTTATCTTCTGTTTTTGCTTCAATAAGGAATATGATCTAGTTTTTATACTGTTTATTGTTTGTTGAATAACTTGCATTATCGACCAAAAAATTAATACAGTTAGCCTGCATATTTCGATGCAATCAAATGTCAGTTAGATAAAAATGCATAGAACACACAAATATACTCTTATTGGAGTAACTAAAACCTGACATTAGGCTCACTATAGGCAACAGATACTATCAATAACTTGATGTAATTTAATAACTAAACCAATCTACTTAAGCAAAGTATAACAGGAGAAATGTTATGAAAACAACAAATGTTTTAACTTAATTTTTATCACATTATGCATACATGTGAATGAAATAATGTTTATTTATTGATATAACCAAAAGTTATCTACCAGTATACAGGTTGTGGAGATTATTAGGTTTTTGATTGAAATGATGAACCGATTGATGATAGACCACCATTGAAAACCTGGAAGCAGGGAACGACCGTTTCGTCCTATTGTGGGACTCCTCAGCAGTGCGCATACACGATCCCGCTCATGAGATTCGAACCAATGGCCTCAGTCTCACGCGTGAACCCTTAACCTACTGGACTACTGAGCCGGCATCCAGTGGTTTTAATGTTTAACCTCAACCAATCCACGAAATTGCGCGACCACCTTCCATTATAACGAGATAGATGCCTGTTTCTACCCGACACGCATTAGCTACACTGGTCACGGCTTCTCACTAGAACTCCGAGAAGTTGTCTGCTGTCCATATCTCAAATTAAGTTATCATTACCTTGAAGAGGCCATCAGATTAGTAGTAGTTAGTACTACACATATAATTCAAAATGGTGAAAATCGGAAGGCTAGACAATGCAGAAACTGATATTCAAGAAACATATGTACACTTATGTCTGTGCGTACTTTTCTCTATGAATGATTTTTCTAGCAACTTTTGTATAGTCATGGATAGTGTTATGACCAGGAAGTGAATATGAATCCGATGCAATCGTTAACCTATTTCCATAATTAAAAAGTTAGTTTGCATTTCGATATAGTAGTCAAATACTGTAGTGTACTAAAATCATATAATTCGGACTAATTAACGGCGGACTTAATACATGAATAACTGGTACTTTCTTCTGAGTTTCATTAAAAATACAACTAGTACATTAAGCGTGACGAATTTCTGGGGCTGCTGCTTAAAGATATTCGAACCTGTTCGGACCACTTCAAAGTTATTTTAGTACAACCTTAGTTTCCCTTTCAAGTGGTTTAGGCCGTATAATCGTTTAACATGATACTTAGTATATATACTGTTACTGTAGATATTAAAACCTTTCAATAAGTTGATAGAACCATCAGAAATGTGAAGACGAAATGCGTGATGATGATTCTAACTAGCTTACATGTCGTAACTAACTACTTATAACACAGAAATCTAAGGATTTTTAATACTTTCTAACAATTCATGGAAATACTGAAAGATAAGTAATCATTGATTAAGTGATATCAAATTCTGTTGTGAGCCTTTTCTTGCATTAAGAATTACTTAATAACGATAGACGATCAACATGTATCTTACTAGTAAAACATAAAACGTGAATTCCTTATTCTTGAATTAATCTTATTAATCAGTCAATCAACTATGTGTACATTTTTATTTTACTAAACATGATTTAACTATAAACAAGTGATATTCACTTATTAGAAAATCGTTTATCTTCTAACAACTTTTCCCTATTTTACTGACTTTCAGATTTTGCTGCAAAAAACTCAATTCTAGCTGATTCAGCTAAAGCTGGTCTCGCATGCTCTGAGGACATAAATGAGGCTAAAGGTAATCTACGTTCAGTTCAAGAAGGACAATCTCTTCGTAACTCTTCAACCCAAAGACAACTTTTACCCTACAAACCAATCATGTTGTTGCACATCAAAGGTCAGTGTACATTATCGATACCTGCTGTAACTCAGTCAAAGTGCTATAGGAATGGTTAAATAGAAAAATTAGTAGTTTGTAGCAAAATATTCACACTTTATTATTAATCATTTGAAACTTTAATAATGTGAATCTAGCAATCAATCTGAAGTTTGACAGTAGCATGGTCTCTAAATGTTACAGATAATTTATAAACTGGAAAGATGGAAACTTATGAAAGATTTACTACATTTGTAAAATACTCAAGAATGAAGACAATTTTTTTTAGATTACTCTTTGCCATACATTGTTCAGATGTTGTTATTAATAAAAATGACAGGTCTTTTCTCTAAGATTAGTTAAGCAATCATAATTTCCTTTCTTTTCAATATTTAACTGGATTTGTATATACTTATTTACTAATCGTTTGAAATTTGCTTAATTTATAATACTTCTTTAAAGTATGTGAACGTAGTAATTGTCTCCGACAAGCTCTGTCGTTCATTGTTTAGTCTATTTTCACTAAACAATTACATGATCTAAAATCAAGGAAGTTTTAGAACATTTTTGACATCATAGCATCCGTGAAGTACCTATGCATGACATTTGTCAATATCAGAACAGGTGACTTGGAATTTCATCAAAAGCATTCAGAACTAAAATCGATTCGCTGTTAAAAGAATACGGTCAGTTTTACTTCAAATACATACCAACGTGTGACCACCTCTTAGTAAACATCAACTTCAAAACGGAATATCGTATGCAAGCTGATTAAATAAGAACCCAAATGTAATCAATAAAAACTAGTTGGCTACTCTTTTTTGAATACATCTGGTTATATGTTAAATTAGTTGCAATTAAAACTAAGATATTTGAGTCATAATCGAAATGGAATGAATCTTGACACTTTACAGAAATGACGTTTCTTGAAGCCATATATCGTCCTTGCCGATAAATCCTGACAAATAAGGTCAAAGCTATATGACTTCTCACCGGTAGTCTCCAGTACGAGCAGAGTTTCGCAACATACACAAAATTTTCAGTCTGGAAAAATGAATTTTTTACTTGTATTTTATAACATAAAGATTTCACCTATGTCATATAATAAAAATGCTTGTACATATAATCAGACAATAATAAGAGATTTTATACTGCTCTTTCTCATTTATACTGTTTATATACTAAAGGTCGACGTCATGTTCAAGTTCGTTTAGTTGCCCCTTCAGCCAAATCTATGAATTCCGGTGACTGTTTTATTCTTATCACAACTGATTCAGTATTCGCTTGGTTTGGTGAATCCGCCAATATTGTTGAAGTGAACAAAACTCGAGAGTTAGCATCATGGATTCACAAAAAGCATGAATTGTCATATACAGGGAATTTAGGTGAAGCAGCACAAAATTTCGGTGATGGTTATATTGCAATACATGAAAGTACTGACTGTTTGGATAACGAGAATCAAATAATACAACTGGTAGTTCTAATCAGCACTATTCTTCAGCTTTAAAGTTTTGGAAAGCTCTAGGTTATAATTCACCACAAATGGTTCATCGTAAGTTATGAGACTAATAAATTATTTTTAGTCCCTTTAATTGATGATTTTCTGACATTTTAATAGTCCGATTCAAATGAACTGTTATTAGCTCTATTCACTATTATATTTTTGGTACAATATAAAATTCTCAGCCCAAAGTATTACGGTGAGTTTCCGTTTCCTATTTCTTGATCGATACTGACGATAAATATTGAGTGATCGCCAACTAGACATTAGCATTTCAGAAGTCACCATCTGAATAATATTCATTCTTTTCAACTCATATTGTCAGCCATCAAGATATCTCCGATTGTATATTTTTGTAACTTGTATAACGAAAAGTCGTAAACTTTTCACAAACGCACCTGAATAGTTTATGCAATTAATTCACATAATGAACTTTTAAAGCAAACAAAGAAACAGATAACTTGTTGAAATATTTAGATGGCAGGAAAAGGTAACCCAGATATTCAAGCAGACCAAATATTAATGATTGATAGTTAAATTAAGAGGAAAACTAGAAAAAAGTCTTGAATAAGCTTCATTGATCTCTGGTGATAGAGAAAATGTCTCAATTGCGTTCATTATGAAATGGTAAATTGTCTAAACGAACTAATTATCTGTATCGGATCCATCTACAACTGTCCAGATTCATAAAAAGTTTTATATACATTATTAATAATGGAATTTAGTCCAACTTAACATCATAATATGATGTAGAATTTATAAAATGGAAAATAAATTGAGCTTTTGAATAAATATTACCAAAACCATCGTTAAGTATTAACTTCTACAAATGGATGTCAACTAATGATATAAATGTATAAAAGAAATATCACTCGATAAACAATAGTTTACTTTGGGAGCTATTCATAACTAAATAACTGATGTTGAATGTCTATATGTCATCCTAATGTAGCACAAAACCATATGAAGAGATTTTGTCTAAATGTGTATGTAGGTATGTTAATCATATACTTTCTTGAAAATGACTTTCCAATAGAGAATGAGCAACTGATAACCATAATATTCCAAAAGCATCTTTTTTAGTTTTGAAACATAAATGGAAGATTAAACATGGACAACAGGCAAGAAGTCTTGATGTAAAAGTTGGTGCTAGCTGGAGTTCGTCAACGAGACATATCCACAATTCTCTTAGGAATCGATGCTTATCGTAACATTCAAAACGATCTAACCCAGTCTTACAATTCATTTAATAAATTCTATTCAGTCGTAATTAAGTGCTAGACTAACCATTATATGATCTTACCTCATATTTCTTAAATCGGTCAGTTAAGTTATCTTTGTGTTGCAGAAAATTAAAAGATAAAAGTTGTTGCTACAATTAGGTAACTTTTTCTGTTTCAAAAATTATATCCTATTAGACGCTGGACCACCTGAAGAAGACGAACGTATGAACTAATGATTCAGCACACTAATCGTGTGTATCGTGTTACTTTAGATGGCTTAATACCATGTGAAGAGTGTTGGGGTAACCCAGTGAAATATCATATCTTAAAATCAGATCAGGTTTGTTTATGAATTAATTAATATACTGTAGATTTAACGATTAATATTCAACGATGATTTTGCCAATAATAAACTTGTAATCAAATGTAATACAGTGTATAAACTCTTCAAGGGTTTTAAAAGTGTAACTGCTACAGTTGTTATTGCTTACAGTTTCCTCACAAAGATATCAATTGTCTATACACTACTCTGAAAGGTCACTTTTTTAACAAAATGATCGTGAATTGTGTTATCAAAAGCATCATAAAAAGCAAATAAGAATGTAATAAACAAATTAAACACTTTACAGTTTTCCTAGAAAAATTCTAAACTCATGATGTATCCGTTAGTTTACATCGTTTACGACAGTTTATTGTTAAGAGTGATCAAATATTTCAAGTTATGTTTAGGTGAATCTTAACTATGCATACGATTTCACTATATATCAACAAAATCTTGACTGTAAACAAAGCTTATAATCAAGAAAAATTAATCAGTGATCATTCATTTACGTCCAGTATATTAAATATTTATATGAATGATTAATCTATCAGATTCTTAAAGTTCGATATTTAGATCTAGTGGTATTGTATATTTCATGTATTTTGTTTTTACTGACTGAATTGTTTGGTGCCTTCAAGTGATGAGTGTTAAAAAAACATTGAAACTTGTTTCTTTCACTTCAATGTTATTTATAACATTTATTCAATGAACAAATATGTCTTTTACTCAATAGCCTACGACTTCAATAAATGTTTTTTTTGTCATACATTACATGTATCGCACGTATAGGTAAAGAAAGATACCTTCAGATGATGAAGAGATTTGTAGCTCAGGTGGATGATTTTGATGGATTTCTGTTCTCTGAGCTGGATGGTTTGGTTGTGGAGCTTACATCGTTCTTCTGAACGACATCATCAACGTTCAGAAGAACGATGTAAGCTCCACAACCAAACCATCCAGCTCAGAGAACAGAAATCCATCAAAAAAAGGATACCTTCAACATGAAATAATACCTCACAACATGGTATAGCTTAAAACTTTGTAATATTTTAAAAACAAAATACTTTCAAAGAAAAACATCAATTTACAATTAAATAATAAATTCAAGTTATTTATCTGAAATAGATGGGCTACATGTTTTGATATCACTGGCAAAACAAGTTGATTATCACTGAAACCCTTCATTTACCACTGTTTGTAATGTTTTGTTATATACATATATATAAATCAACATTTTGTAAAATTGCACTTTTAAAAAAAGTTCATTGCACATATAAAATGTGCAAGAAATAAATCAATTCAAATGTTCTATTTAAGATAAAAATCGATTACCTTAACCATGTGTTACACGTGATCTGTGTTGTTCTTCGAAATTTTTTATTTACATTCATCCAATTCAATACATATTCTATCTATGTAATTTTATATTTGATATTTTAATGATTGTGAATTGTTAGTACTATGTTCAAAAGTATTAAGATAATACTGTCTCCTGTATTTTAATTTCAGTAAATTGTATTGACTCTTAGTCTCTTATCAAAATGCCTAACAGCTAAAAAAAAAGCGAATTGAAGGTTAACTAAAATTTAAACAGAGTGATTAACAATGTAATACAAAATATAGTGAAAATTCCCATTTTGCCATTTGGTAAATAGAGAACGAACGAATTGAGCGAAGAAATTTCTTTTCAATTAGTTTTTCATCATGGCTCTACACTAATATATATACGTTTTACAATAATAATATAATGCTCATCGAGTGGATACGTTACGTAATAATTACATAATGACATTTAAATTAACATTGAGTAATTAGAAGAAAGAGGATTATTAATATTCAAAGTGATCAAGAATTTGCTACGTTGCGTAATGTAAGAAACAAAGAAGGAACAGAATTTTAACGGATGGTCAATAGAATGGTAGTTACGTAAGGATCAAGAGATGAATGTTGAGAAGTTATTAAGTTCAAAAGCAACAGAAACAAAATTACAAAAGTTTAAAAAAAACAAGTGGAAGAATTATAAAAATAGTTTTTTTGAAGGAAATCTTAAACTGATGGCCAGGGCAGGGAAAGTGGTTGTACGAATCTCTTTTGAATGCAAAGGTCAGGTTTGTGAACATGGATTGCGATGGCTTCCGCAATGTGCAAGAGGCGCACTCGTAAACCATGTGGCAAATTAGATGGGATATTGTAGATAACCTTAAAAGCTTTATTCAATTCGACTTGATGACCTGTGTCAACCAAGTGAGAGAGAATAGAACTTTTAATCACTTTTACCTGTCCTTTGTTTAACCACGACGGATGATGTTCAGTAATGCGATGATGTCCGGTAGGTGTCGCTCAGTTTCATGGATTAGTTGAGGTTAGGTACTAACACTGTTGGATGCTGGCTCCGTGGTCTAATGGTTAAGCGAGTTTTGGGTTCGAATCTTGCGAGGTGGTATCTTGGACCCGCACTGCTGAGGAGTCTAAGAATAGAATGAAACGGCCGTCCAGTGCTTCCAGGTTTTCTATGGTGGTCTAGTTGCAACTGACTTATGATCTCAACTTTTGAGATTACTATAATAACCACAAAATCCCTCGTGATACTAATCTTTTATTACAAATTAGTAAGTGTTCGAAATTCAACAACTCTTTAAGCCGATTTTGTTTTATTGTAAAAACATTATTTTTAGTGCTGTTTTCTTTACTCGTTGATACAAGCTGAATCAGTTTTTACTTAAAAGCGGTCAACAACAAGCTTTTATTCTAATTTTTTACCTTTTAGATCTTACTAGAATTATTTTTATTTCAAGATATACTAATACATGAAAAAGTGTACTGAAGTACACATTATTGTTATGGTATATAAGCTTATATAGAAGAATACTATGAATTCCCTTAATAGTTTTCTCTTCTGATCATGTTACTTTTAAATTTTTCGCAAATGATCAATTTATTTAATAAATTTCACAGGTTGAAATCATGAGTCAGTTGAAGCTAGACCACCATTCGATGGCGCAACTTCGTGGATTGGTTGAAGTTAGACATTAACACCGTTGGATGCCGGCTCAGTGGTCTAATGGTTAAGTGCTCGCGCGCGAAGCCAGTAGGTCCTGGGTTCGAATCCCGCAGGGAGCGGGTTCGTGGATGCGCACTGCTGAGGAGTCCCATACTAGGACGAAACGGCCGTCCAGTGCTTCCAGGTTTTCAATGGTGGTCTAGCTTCAACTGACTTATGATTTCAACGTGTGAAATTTAATAAAATCTCCACAAAACTCATTCTGATCAATTTATTTGTTAAAACTGTTCTTTCAATTAACTATAGGCATTCGTTTTTGACTTTGGATCTGAAATGTATTTATGGACCGGTAAACAAATTACTTCTGAACTCCGTCAAGCTGGTATTGAATTAGTCCATAAAGCATACAACATGAATTATGACTTTGGTCAGTGTAAATTAAACCCACTGGATCCATTAAACTGTAAGTAATAGTACTAATATTGACCTCTTAATTAATCAGATTATCGATTTTCGATTTAATCATTTCAATGAAATTATTCAGTTCTAAATAATCATTATCCGTTTATTATTCATATTGTTGTACCATGTGAATGCATATCATAAATTAAAATTATCATCATTAACGTGTGTAGTAAACAAAAACTGATCAGACCATTTATGTAACCTTTAAGTGGTCCAATTATTTTTGAGACAAGCTATTTTCTCTCCCATTTTAAATATTACATTATTTAATTAAACAGATTTTTAGGTCCTGTATGAGAATTTAAAGATGAAGTGAAAATTTATTTGGTTTTCGACATGACCATATTCGGTTTGATTATTTACTACTTTACTTAGTATGTAAGGCGTAATTCTGTTATAAACCTAATTGGAAAGCTTATAGAGCATGGTAAAAGAGACAACGTCATTTTCAGTGAAGATTTTATTATTTCTTTGTAATAAATTTTGTCTAATTTAGTGTTTTATGGAAAATATTTTCCTTTGACGATAGTTTACATCATGGAAAAACATTGGCTGGGCATTTACAGATTTCTAGGAAGCACTAGACAGCTGTTTTAGCTTGGATGTATTCTCTAGTGACCATTTACTACTCAACATGCCTCCGAATTGAGGACCATAAGATGTTGCAGGGAGTGCCAGCGTCATTTGACCGCTGTGAAGGAATTCAGTAGTTCATATCTATTTACTAACATCAATGGCAGACTAACTTATTGAAAATACAGTAAATAATCAACAAAATGAATACTTCAAACCACCAAAGACTGATACAATAAGATTTGGAATCTGAGTTTTGGATTTCAGCTTCAACAAGAGAATGTCATTAATCTTGTATCAATTGGTCAAATAAAATACCGCTTCTAACGGCAGTGTATTCTAGTTGCTTATAACGTAGGAAAACCTGTACTTTACGGAAATATGGTTAGTTCTTGAGTTCTAAACTTACCAGTTTCGTTCCACGGGTTGGAAGAAAAGAGAAGTCATATCAGGTGTAATATCATTATTTAATATGATATGCGTCATAAAAAACATCTCTTAATTTATGGCATGATAAATTAAAGACATATAAATGCTGAAATCACTCGCTATGAGGTGAATCAATCGTCACCAGAGTTGCATGGATAATTGTTTTCTGCACTCGTTTTACGAGCACATACAATAAGTAACTGGCTACTGACTCGCCTTCTGCGGAAGCTATTATACAAAGAAATAAGAATCATAAACAAGTTGAGGTTCCCATTAGCTAAACTTTGTTTTAAACCTGGTTTATTATCCACTATTATGGCTTAGATAGTAAAACAGTTTATTAGCGAACTGGATGAAAGTCATTGTTTTGATAGTATTGGTTGTACGAAACGTTATGAAATTCTCCCCTTATATATGATGTTTCAAGACTGTGCTGTAATGATATGCGGATTGATTTTTATTATAAAATATCATGTTGACATAGTTATTTTTCTTGTTGCAAACTGCCTCAACACCAAAATAATAATCCTTTTGTTTCAAAGACATAATATTTAGTAGACTATATTTCAAAGAGGATTCATCAGAGGATATAGTAATAAGTAACAAAGAAACCTGATGGTTGAAACAACGTTTATAAATTTTGATAAAGATTGAAGCAATAAAAGTCACCGACAACTATAATGTTGTCGACGAATATAACTTCAATTCTTGTTTAAAGAGAAAAAGATGTTTGCGATTATGATTTTAAACAGTTTGTCTATCGTATTAGTAAAAGCTTCTATACGGTTAGTTTGACAGTCAGTTATCTCACTTATCTGATTCATATCTAATGCAGGATTCCTTAATGGTGGCAGGTACTTACGATTTTTTGTACCACTGAAATGAATTACTTAATCTATGTTTCTAACAATAAATCAGCATAATTACATCTGATTTATATAAGTAGTATTTACATGGAAGATTCAGTGTATACATGTCAAAGTAAAATTCGTCTCACCCCCAAAATGTTACCTCTTTTGTTCAATATTCGGATTTAATCTAATTGTAATTGAATATTTAATAGTGGAAATGTAAAATTTGAAGTAGATCTCAGTGTATCGATTTAACTCTGGACTGTAATACTATCAGTTGAATTTGAGCAAATCTAAATTGGAATTCTGTGATCTGATATCGGTTATGTATTTTTGGCTATTATCATGTACACTGACAATAAACATCGTTATAGATATCATTTTATTTATAACAAACTAGTTATTTCACCATACTTTATCTGCTACATGATTGACACTATTTAGTAACCTTTTAATGTTTTTAGTTGTTTTTTTTTTCTTTTCTTTCGAAGTACGTCAGTAGTTTAATGTACTGAATTTATTGGTATATCAATATCTGACTTAAATGAATGATTGACAGGCAAACTAAATGATTAGTTTTTCACTTTACTTATGCTATGTATTTCAAGCATCTTAAATCGACTGAATTGATAAAACCAAGCGAATGTTATTTTTCAACAGTCCTATGTATCTAATTACATATTTTTGTCGAAGAATTAGGATAAGTATATGTGAGATGATATGTTATCATAAATTGAAACGGCTCAACATACATCACTAACGTTGTAGATATTCAGAACAATTTCAAAAAGGAAAAAAAACTGTCACAGAATGGTTTACATTATCAATAAATAAATAAAAGGATAAGGAAGTAATTTTTTAGTTCTTGAAACCTTCATAAAGTGTACTTGTTGTTATATTTTTTTATGACATTGTGTAACTGTATGTAAAGATAAATGACATTAAACCCGATTAATTTATACACTGGTTGGTGAATCTATATATACGTCTATGTCAAACGATTCTGTATTTAAATAGTTTGTTTCGGAAAAAATATGTTACTTATTTTTCATAAGCTGAATAAAGTCGTATTTATCAATGATACAACTGGAAACGTTGTTTTTATTCGATGATTATGACTTTCACAAGATGTAAAATAAGCAACTTTAGTTTCTCGATTATTGGATCACTCATTATCAACTGATGTTGATTATTAACTCATAGGATTTGAATTTTCTTCAGTAAAAACTACAAGTACAATTTTGTTTAACTAATATACATACGTTTAAAACAATTTTATTCAACAAAATGAAGAATCTTTTTGATCCGTAATAAATGCATCTTATTATTTTAAAAAAAAATTGTTTTAGCACACACCAGTGATATATTAGCTTCTGGATGTAAACGACCAGAATGGACTTTATTAGGCAAAGTAACGGATAGAGGTGAAACAGTCTTATTCAAAGAGAAATTCTTTGATTGGCCTGATACTTCAAGAATTCAAATAAAATCATTGAAACCTGGAAAATCAATCTCCACGGAGGTAGGTATAAATATATTTATTTGTTAGTTTCATGTAATTAGACTTTTTTTAAAAAAATTCACTTACACAAACCATAAATCAACTATGATGTATACTTATTCTACTAATTTTGTGGTATACCATTATTTTTTGTTCTAAAGTATGGTATGTAATTCTATTACAACTAAGTAATGATAAATCTATAATTCAATGGTTTCTAGGTAGCAAATTCTAGAATCTTCTTTACTATATTTAATCTCTTAACACATTTATAATATTATTATCTCAGTTATGACAACAGAATAATAATAATAACCAAGTATTCACATTTATTCAATTTACTAAACTATAGTAAGACATACGTTCTAATTAGTTGTATAAAGAATATAATTTAGTAAATTATTATAAAATGAATATTTACTAAGTAAAAGTACTAATAAACAATTTGTATTGAATATTTATTATTATTATTTTATTGAATGAATCCAATGAAACAATTAAGATTAATTTGTCAGTATAGTTTTATCTTTTTAACTTTTATAATCTGTAAAATGCTGAGAAATTCATGATAATTTCAATGGTTGAGATCATGCGTCAGTTGAAGCTAGACCACCATGGAAAACCCGGAAACACTGGAAGGCCGTTTCGTCCTAGTATGGGACTCCTCAGCACTGCTCGTCCATGATCTCGCCCCCTCCCACCTCGAGATTCGAACCCACGACCTATCACTCTTGCGCGCAAGCGCTTAACCACTAGACTACTGGGCCAGCATCCAATGGTGTTAGTGTCTAACTTCAACTAATCCACTAAATTGAGCGATACATCCACCATTGTCTTCAGTGAGCTGATATCTCACAACAGACCTGATTGAACTCCACTGGTCACTGTTTCTCACAAGAACTCCAGGATATATCTCTTGAAGCCAGTCACTAGTGAGCATATGTTGATTAATATCAGAGGGTTTTTGTGAACATTATAGTAATCGCAATGATCTCAACCATTGGAATTACTATAGTGTCCACAAAACTCCTCCAATATGATAATGTTGATTTTCTCCTTAGATCACTAATTTGACATTTATCAGTTAATAGATAGAAAAAAGATCTAGATCAGTGTAAACTGTTTTAATTTATATTAAATAACTTATTCACAAAGATGGATAGTGGATAGCAGTAGAATCCAGGATGTAGGTTTCGTCATATTTGGGACTCGTCAGATGGATGTACCTGTATCTCAGGGTTAATGTTCATTACAGGACTTGGACTCAGTACCGTTCACTTCAAACGCCATCGTGTTATCCAGTTAGCTACCGAGTCCTGACAGTCACTTGCTTGTGCGATGGGGTGCAGTTTAAGTTGACTTGGTATTGTTTACTCGGATCTTTGCATTGATGTTTAGGACTGAAATTGATCAGCCTGTTATTGGTGTATGTGCATATTGTGCGTATTGCCTAGATATTGCCAGAGTGAGCATCAGCTCTGAGATGCAGGTACATACAGCTAATGTGTCCCAAATAAGATGAAACGCGCGTCCTGGATTCCACTGATAACCACTATCCATCTTTGCCTAGAATGTTTGTGAATTATAGCAATATCGAGGCAATTCTCACAGCATGCACATAATAGACTGATCAATTGCAGCCCTAAACATCAATGGAACGCTTCAAGTAAACAATACCAAGTGAATTAAAGAATTGTTCACATTTATGTACCTTTCAATAATCAATATTTCAAAACTCATTTACAAGTTTGATTAACAAATGACAGTCATTTTACATAGTATCTATTCATAAATTCATGATTCATGTAAACAGATGATTGTGTCAGTGTACGCAGTATATAAGTTGTCCAATTCGTTTCTAAAGTTTATAGAATGGGCAGTATTCTTAGATAGTAGGTGAATTTTGTGTAAAATATATTTCACAATAAATGTTCATATTTGTAAACACAGTTTTCCTAATTACTTTCTTGATGAATATTTTAAAGAGTTCTCCTGCTATAGCTTCATTGACGATGGAACCATATTCAGCTAATGAACTCTATGAAACTGCAATTAATAATCCACCACCTCCTCCAAATCTACTAACACTTGAAGGACGTTACATTGGTCGTGGTGGTAAAATATGTCGTTATGAAGATGGTATAATAAGACAGTTTTGGGTAGAAACAAATGAACTTCGTGTATGGCATATTTCCGAATTTGCTAGGTACGAAATACCTTTAACAAGTCATGGACAATTTCATAGAGAAGATACTTATGTCATCAGATGGTCATATAAAATTGCTTATAGTAAGTAAATATTTTCGTTTATAATTGTTGAAAGTAAAATGTTGATGGTGACTTTGACGACGAAAAGATTTTAATGTCATTGCAGCATCTATTTCCGACAAACATTTATGGTAATTGACCATAAAATCGTAGACTAACATTTCATTTCTATCCACTACAGAAGTAGGAGAGCAAAGTTATTTAAAGTATGTCCTCGTTGGATCATGTCATGAAAGTCGCATCTGTAAATAACCCATATTCCTTCAGTCTGAGGCTTTACATATAAAGTGTATTAAACTAACTCAAAGTATCTCAATGTTCTCATATTTTTGTACTGAAATTAAATGTCAAGTTGCAGAGTTGCAAATTTATTTATTTCCTCTTTGTAGTTAACTGATCAATATATTGTTCCTAGAAAAATTGATACATAGAAATTTTATTATATAAAATGTTCCCAGTGTAATAAATCACCAATTGTATAGGCTTAATTTTCATCTATTTAATAGAGATGGAAATGATTTTTTACCTCATTTTCTTCAGGCTTACAGAAAGCAAAAACTGAAGTACTTTTCATCGTGTTTAAAATTATTTAGCATTAAGATTTAGTTATGTTATTTTCATGCACCTAAGAATACTTAGATTGAATGTTTAGTATTCTAACGAAACTGTAGCTTAATATCTTCTGTACACATAAATTGTGGTTAAATGTACGACTTCCTATGGCTTCAGCTATATGTAAGAGATGGGAATGAACTTCGTTGGGAAATAATGGAGGTATACGATAGATCACTCGAAACTCTTCCGATTTATCTACATTCTGACCGCTATCAATAAGATGTGCCAAGATAGAACTGTGTTTTGTTTTTATCTAGCTACTTATAAACCAAGCTGGTAGATGTTCACTCATTCGTTGGTTAAGTTACCTGGTAGTACGCCCGATATAGCTATCGCCACAGGAGCAGCTGAATTTGTAGATGCACATTGAGCAGACCAACTGAGGTAACTTATCCTTCGTTTGAGTAGACATCGCTGGTTGACTCGAGAAAACCAACGCAATATTGGTTGCGTAGAATGTCGTGCTAATTACTTTCGTTAGCCTATCTATCAGAGTATCACTAGACACATCCCCGTTGAATTGTAGTTTCATGTATAATTTAAATGATGAATTTATTAATCTAAGTTGTGATCTTTTAGTTAAGAGATAACAGTTGATATTGAACATTGTGGTGATTAAAGAAACGTTAACTGTATGAATGAATATATATGGATTTTCATAACTTGATTCATTTCACATAACATTACCATATAAAAAGCCATAATTACTTACTTACCTAATACTCCTCGTGGAGGAGCATAGACCGTCCACCAGCACTCGCTATCCAAACCATAATTGGTCACCACAAATAAACCTTACAACTAACATTGTTATGTTTATTACAAATGTCGAAAAATATCACTAATGCTCTAACTTATTAGTTCATCGTTTCTGCTTACAAAATGATATTATCAACAAATCTTAGATGAGTATTGTTGAAATTACAAATAAAAGGAGGCTACCTGCATCAGCAACAATCTTCAAGCTTTTTAGTCTAACTCTTCCGATTAAATCATTCACAATATATACATTGTAGACATATAATTAATCTAATTTTTAACAATATTTCATTCAATGATTCAACAAATTATAAAGTATTTTAGAATGATAGTTTTAAATGAAACCTAAAATATGGACAGAATTTATTTCAAATCTACAGCTGTTCATTAATTAATTACCGGTGTTATGTTGTTTTAAATCATTTGAACTAGTTTAATGGACATAAATTAAATGAAACCTACTGTATATTCCCAATGTTATAGTTAAGTCACTTTTTTTATACTGAAATATAAAATTGCTTATTAGGTATATTTCTTGCAGGTAGCAAACTAATAATTGTCCATTATCACGACCATAGTCAATTAATCTTGTTCTTCATTTCATAGATAAGTCGATGCAAGTTACCAAAGTGTTCACATATATATATATATATATATATATATATATATATATATATATATATATATATTGTAAACTAAGAACACATTTGAAAACAGTTGTGTTTGGTGTATTAAAACTGATCAAATTAAAAATATCACATTTAAACTTTAACGCATTAACCTTTTTGAACTGTGGCAACTATAATGATAAACGACTAAATGATAAGTTATCTGTACAAATAATAGTTGTATTATTCGTATGTTTATTTAATACAACATAAATAGTATCTTTAATGGACAAATTCAAATTAGAAGCATTGACAATTACTAATCATATAGATATGAATAATAGTATCAGTCAGTCAGTCACTCATATGAAAATTAGAACTAGACACATATGTACATAGATTCAAGTTGTTATATGACATTTACACAGCGTGATTCTGGAGTATTTTTGCTATTAACAATATTAGTGGTTGTAAAAAACAATACATACAGAAGATATGATTCCAGAAGAAAATATGAATTCCTGGAATATAAAAGATTACTAGGTTGATTTTTTTTTAAAAACTGAAGATCAAAATGAAAATAAAGATTGCCAATTTAAAGGATTCTTTACTAGGTATCTTTATCAAGCTTTGACTTGATAATTCTAAATAAATTGAGCAATGAGTAGATTGTTATTAACATCTCATTGAGCAGAAAAATTAAATTTTCTGACGTTTCGTGACTCAGTGTAAGCCGTTCTCTTTTTCAAAGAAAAAAAGCAAATAAAATTAACTCAATTTTAATTAGTACAAAGGAAGGAAGGAAAAATATTTAGAATAGCCAATAAAAAACAGGTCGGGCCAAGGCAATGTCATATCATTCTGAGCTAAATCATCCAAAGCCTCTGACTACTGATTATGATAATCACGTAAAAACTAACCTATTAGTTTACACCTAATTACTCAGTTGAATTAACAGTTAATGATTTCATGACTGATGCCACGTTTCAGTCTCGTCACTATTTTCTTTCAAATCACTCCTGCACTAACTATCATTACTCTTCGAGGGATTATATAAAAAAAACAATTGATGTAATATATATCTCTCGTAAGGAAGTATGGAATGACTTTATAGGCATTTCCATACTCATTTCTACCATTAAACTTATAATAATATGTGTTAGATATCAAGTGTACATACAGTCCTGTTGATGAAAACAAACACTCATGTTTTAAATGTCCAATTCTTATTGATTACTAAATGAAGTATTTTCAAAGCTTGAAAATTTTAAATTATTATTTGCTTACATATTTATAAAGAAAATGAAGAGTTCCAGTAAAACCTTTCGAAAATATTTTTATGGGAAATATTCTTCTCACTATGTTTATGGTTCACAGCTTGTCCTGTACCACATATGGAGAAGTTCAAACATTTCACATCTACCTGAAGTTTGTGCTGGTGACGTCGTTCAAAAGAACGATGAAAACTCCAAGATCAAACCATTCAGCTCAAAGAACAAAAATCCATCAATATACATGACTTCTTTCGATGAAAAATAATTCAAAGATATGTGTGGCTAGAAAAAAACAATAAAAAAGAAATCACAGTATCAATTGTTTAGTCATTATCCATAATATTATTTTAATTAACATCAGTGTCTAGTTACTAGCCCCCTCTCCTTTAGAATTAACCATAAATTACTAGTATAAGGGTTGTTGAGATTATTAAGTTTTTAATTGAGATCATGAACCGATTGATGTTAGACCAGTGCTTCCAGGTTTCCAAAAGTGATCTAACATCATTCGGTTCATGATCTTAATCAATAACCAGAAATTATTCACCTATCACATGAAATTCATAATAATGGCTTATAATTACTTTTTTATTGAGTAAATCAAACTCTTGTATTAAACCCCTAATTCACCACTAAACATTAGATTCAATATCATTGATCTTTTGCCTTATTATTATTGAATCCCATTTTATTATTTTTTTAAATTAATTTATTTCATTATTAGCCAGTTTACAAAATAGCAATAAACGTCCAACTGAAAATGTTCGTGAACATTGTGCTTATTTCTATTGGCAAGGATCACGAAGTAAAATAACAGAAAAAGGGGCAGCTGCATTAATGACTATTGAATTAGATGAAGAAAGAGGTCCACAGGTTAATTATTTTTCTTTATAATAATTTTTTCAATTTATTATATAAATTAAATTAATTGATATCGGTTAGACAATGTAGACATTATCACTAGTGTCAATATTACTAGTTTTACTGTTAAACAAATTCGAAATGGACATAAATGATAACAGACTAGGAGATCATTTTTTATCATATTCATTTGAATCTCAGTGAATAGGCATGAACGAAATACCCCTACACACCGATCTTTATTCCAATATATGAGTCAAACTGATTCATCAATCAACCACGTATATCTGTTTTCTTCATACAAACCGCCTACTGATTAGGCAGCATCACTGATGAACACGGTGGATCTGATGATGATGTGGAGGCACGATTCGGTAAAGCAAAAGCAACAATATCAACAATTGAAGAATATCCGCAACTCAAAACAACTGTCAACCAACACCAAACTCACAATTTTCAATACAAATGTCAAAACAGTTCTACTGCATGTGGCGAGAAGCTGGAGAACTACCAAAGCCATCATCCACAAGATACAAGTGTTTATTAACTGTTATCTATGCAAAATACTTCGGATCCATTGGCCAGACACTATCCGCAACACCCTACTATGGGAGAGAACAAAACCAGATCCCAATGGAGGAAGAAATTAGTAAGAACCACTGGAAGCGGATAGAACACACATTGAGGAAAGCAATCAACTTCGTCACCATACAAGCTCTCACTTGGAATCCTCAAGGCCAAAGGAAAAGAGGAAGATCAAAGAACACGTTACGCCGAGAAGTGGAGACAGATATGGGAAAAATAAACAATAATTGGATGAAACTAGAAAGGAAGGCCCAAGACAGAGTGGGTTGGAAAATGTTTGTCGGTGGCCTATGCTTCCTTGGGAGTAGCAGACGTAAGTAACTAACTTACTCGTTGTCCTATTCAACAGTTAGAACGAAATTAGGAGTTTACATATTGAAAATCTCATATCGTAATTCAAATAATTAATAATTCGTTTTAAAGTTAAACTTTAAATAATTGTTTGATTGTATTGCATAAATGAGAATGTGCATACCTCATTCATTTTTGTATTAGTTATTTGAAGTCTCAGAGTGAATATCAAAGCTCTGGAATGCAAGTACATCCAGTCGATGAGTCCAAAATAAGACGAAACACGTGCTCCTAATTCCACTGCTAACAAATGTTTATTTCTGTATATAATATTTTCATACTGTTCATATTATTAAAGCGATACTAAAGTTAGTAGGCACTTCCAGCTGTGTTTATTATAGAGAAAAAAACTGATTATTAATTTATTGTACAATATATTTTATTTTAATAATAATAATGAACAAAGCAAAAAACTGCATGATTTACAACAGTAACAAAATAAGTAACAGTTCAATGCTTCTTATTACATGTAAACAGGTTAATACTACAACGAATGAAATGATTGAAAAAAAGGTTTGATATATATTTTAGTTAATGAAATTGAAACAGAAATATGGCATAAAACAGTTGGTTATAGGGATAACATTTTATAAGCATTCTTTTCATTATCTAATTTAAAGGTGTCATATCTTATGGCCTTTTTCCCTCATTCAATATATGACGTATTGATACCGCCAATTAGAGAACAGTGAATTATCAACTGCACCAAAGACGTGTGAAACCCGTACGAGCAGTCTATAGACTTTATCGTATCGTATTGGTCCATAGATAATTCTCAAGTGTTACCATTCATAATTCTTGTCAGGATATAACAAAAAACTTCAGTATGTTCACTTGTTTAAAATAGAACCTAGTCAGGCAGTTTTCACAAAAGACTGATAACAGCTGAAGGACTAGTGAAAGTAACTGACCATTGTACAGCTGAGTCACGTTTAATTAAGATGAACTAGTTGTCTAGCGCTCCATGGTTTTCGATGGTTTTTTAGATGGTTTCAATTTGAGAGGAAACTATAATCATTTTACCAATCGCTCATAATTTATTTGAGAATCATAAATAATAATTGGGATTTTCAAAGTAATTGAGTAGCCAGTGATGCGAATTTCTGGTAATGGTAGTGGTATTCCTCTAGGACATTCCTTTTTATTTGGATTTAGGACTGATAATGTAGTTCAACATAACAATAGAAGCTAGCTCTGAGAATGCAGCAATGTAAATATCTCAGAATAAATGATATTTTGTAAGACACATGGTGGGTAAAAGTCCTTTTTTAACAAAAGTCTGAATTTTATCCACTTGATGGCATCATTCTTTTCCTAATAATAAAAAATCCTCAGAGTAAAAAAACACTCACAATATTTCCTTAATTTTATATTTGTAACAATAATTAGATAAGAGTGATCGAAGGAAGAGAACCACCAGTATTTTGTTATCTATTTAACGGTCGAATGATTACGCATGAAGGAAAAAGAACTGCACAAAAAGAAGTAAGTTCTAAGAATTTATTTCAAGGGTAAAATTTCATTTTGATTGCTACATGATTACAGTAATGGGAAATTTAAACTTAACTTGTTTTCACTTTTCAAATAATTTCATAGTTAACGCTAAGGAAAAAGAATATCCAGGCCTATTAGGATTAAAATCTACACACAACCCCTTCTGATAATAAACATCTGCACACTAGTGACTGACTTCAAGAGGCATTTCCTGAAGTTCTAGTGAGAAGCCGTTACCAGTGGAGTTCAGTCAGGTCTGTTGTGAGATATCAGCTCACTGAAGACAATGGTGTATGGTGGCGCAATGTTGTGGATTGGTTGAAGTTAGACATTAACACCAGTGGATGCCGGCTCAGTGGTCTAGTTGGTTGAACGCGTGGCGCGAGACTGATAGGTCGTGGGTTTGAATCTCACTGGGTGGATGGGATCGTGGATGCGCAATGCTGAGGCGTCCCATACTAGAACGAAACAGCCGTCTAGTTCTTCCAGGTTTCCCATGGTGGTCTAGCTTCAATTGATTCATGATTTCAACCATTAGAATGAATTAAAAGATAATTTATGAGTAAACTTATTAACGTTCAGTTACATTTTGTTTTGTTTAAAACCAGGTACCATTGGATAAGTTTATCAGTTATAATGAATGTTAACCATCAAACAAGAATACATTTTCATATCACAAATGATACTGGATTTCCACCCATTAGAAATACTTTTTTGACTCATTAAGAAGCATATGTTGTCACCTGTTGTAGTTGAGATATAACTATAACCTCTTATTAATCAGAAATCATAAACAAACTAATAATTTTTAATGGTCATTTGTTTATTAAATTACTTTTAAAACAGTGAAACCGTATTTCCTTGTTTTTTTTGGGGGGGGGGAGGTTGCACATGATATTGCCAACTTTAGTTAGTTAAATATATTTCTGATATTATTTCTCTTTCCATGTTAAATATCAAGTTCTGAATTAAAATAAAACAGTTATACAATGTCAACTAATTTCAGTATCTGTTGTTAAATGGAAAGCAACTAATGTGTAAACCATTGATTCGTTTGTCATAGTATAAAATATTAAATAATATTCGAATAATTAGTCTTTGTTATTGATTCTTAGGTGTTTGATCTTCTTTCATAAGCAAATGAGACAGTTTTCATCTTAAAATTGGATAATATCCATACTTTTATTCATAATTTACTAGTGGCTAATCCAACGATAAAACTCAAGATTTCGATGTGCGTTAGAAAATGAGTTTCTATTTAACTAGTAGAGTGGGTAAGATCAGATTCCAGTCGCAGTATGTTAGTGATATATATTCGTGCAGAAATTTTTGATAAATGTATTTGACTGCATATTTCTGAATCAAACTTTGCATTTATTTTCATTTCAAGTTCACTACACGTATGTTCATTGTCCGTGGTGAAGTTATGGAAGAAGGTCATCTCATTGAAGTTCCAGTTCAGTTAAATTCATTACGTCCACAAGGTGTCTTATTATTAGTGCAATATACCAAATATCCAATGACAGATTCTGCTGAAATTATTAGAGCATTTTGTTGGATTGGTCAGTTAGTACCACCTAGTTATTTAACAACAGCAAAATATGTTCTCAACCAATTAAAGAAATGGTGAGTTTAAAATAAATAATCTCCGTCTAGTAATCAATATTATATTGTCTAGTCTTTAGAATTAATTGGATCCTATTAATCAAGTTGCAGTGTATCCACTAGTTTAAGGAACTGCATATCTTAGTGATTTAAGTCTGTTGTCAAGTATTCTTAGAAAATTATCAAGTGGATGTCACCCTGGGTTTTGTACTAGCATTTACTTGACAAACATTGCCTTACAAATACGATCCGAGTTCGAATCACCTAATGCTTAAACTGATTTACAGAATTAAACCAGTTGTACATTTGATTCATCAATCCTCCATTTCACAAATCTGTGAATGTTAACCGATTACTAAACTATATTAAATCTATTTATCAGTTGAATATATTCGATTCAGATTATAATGTTTATACATCTCTAATTTATTGTCATACAGTGTATGATGTATATATTTATTAGATTTACAATTGACAGTAACAATAATGTTTGTTTTTTACTTGTAATTTTTTGTAAAGTTGTCCACCAGAACTTGGCAAACAATTAAATCTGATTTATGAAATTCATCAACATGATAGAAATGAACTATCTAAAGAATTTTTAAATATACTCAATTCTGAAGATCAATTATCTAGTCCATTATGCTTAGATTCAATAAAATGTAAGAGTAATGTATTATAAACAATTCTGTTTATCGATTATTTGATTAAAAATTTTAAAAAAAAATTATATTAGCCAATTAATGCATATTCTTTTAACGTTTGTATTTCTTTACAACTAATAACTTCAACAAGTGAAACTTTGGAAATATTTATGCTAGTTTGGTCGTATGCATCGACTAGCCAAATATCCCTGTTTTCAACTTCTCTGTAATGAGTTACTATATATATATATATATATATCTTCGTTTTTTGGAAGCTACGACTGCATTATTTTCCATTTTCTTACCTCACTACATTGAGGCATGTCTCATGCAATTAAAATTAATCAAATCATGTCAACATCAGTTTACATAATTTACTACATAAGCGATCAATGTTTCATCAAAGATATATTTTACTGTTTGATTTTGTCTTGTGATGATTGTTGTAGTAAATTTGCACTTTGATTCGGAATAGGCAGTTAAGTTGAAGATAAATTCAAACACAGTATAGGATGGATCAAAATCTGTCCTGGCAATAAACACTTGTGTTAAACACTTCTTAGTATATATATATTGTTCGTGATAACGCTAAAACACAGCGTTCACAACGTGTTTGATCTCAGTCACTAAGAAATGAACCAAAAAACGTTTTATCGATGATTTTCGAAAACAATGAACATATAGTTTAGACTATAGCCACTGTACTTCTAGGATCGTTCTTTTTGTTGTTTGGACGTATGAATTATTAAGCGATCAATCGATTTCACTTATATTTCTATTCTAATCTGAAAGATTTTCTAGTCGCATTTCAAACGTTCATTGCTAATTAATTCCTGAATTCCATCGAATGATTGATATGAGTTTTATACTTATTGATGAAAACAAAGTTTATTGATTAATTTTATCAACTGCATAGTTTGAAAATTGATTTTTCTCTTATTTTTATTTCTTGAATGTTATTGTTAAACATAACACAGTGCAAAACTATCCACATGGAAACATGAACATACATGGATTAAATGAGAATTACTAAAGGCTTTGTAATTAAGCCTAACATCAAATTTCACATGTCAAAATGAATTTTGCTTCTGTTTTTTTATTTTAACGTTTCTTTATTTATATTTTCATAGTTTATGAGTGTTAGTTCATATCTATTTGAGCTTACTTAAAAATGGCATTACTGATGGATGCGTCTAAGGCTGTTCAACTTCTCATTCTTCGTATATGAAAGTTATTTCTAATTATTTATGTTGTCCTAAGAGTGTACTTGTTTGCCTGTGAAGTAGTCGGGAGTAAAAGTTGGAAATTTATCTGCTTATTAGTTGAAGCCTTATATTCCTTAGACTTGAAATGTTCCAGTCTATTATCATATCGAACCTGTAAATAATAATTAAAACCTATTTATATTTTAACATTATTAGTATTTATTCAGGTAACTTCTTAAGAGTAGATTACGTCTGAAGAATTATTAATAGTCAGTGTAGGATTGATTTTGCCAACATGTAGTTTTTTCCAAACACATTCCGCAAAATTGTAGAATCTTAGTTTGTGAGTCATTGTAGTCAAAGCAAATGAAAATTGGTCTTTAAAACTACATTTTTTTTAAATACGTAAATTATTGCACTTATAATCAATCAAAAAAATCAAGGGCGAAACACGTATAACAAACATTAGTGGGACGTGCAATGAATAAATACTTATTAATGAAATTCGTACTTATTAGATGATTCCAATTTGATTGTCTAGTAATTACATAAAAGCGGACTACACACAGGTTAGATATACTTGAAGTAGTGGACGTTTAAGATCTCACATAATGAGTCACTTTGATAGTGAGCATAACTAACAATCACTAAGGATTAAATGTATAACTTGCTCAAGTTTAAGAGTCAGTTGTGGATGTTTTTTACCCTAAGAGAGACAGCTACAGTGAAAATTCCATCGAACCACAGTTTAGTGGTCTGAAAGTATTACATTCCTCATAGCCTGTGAGTAAGGAGTTCAACTCTCTGTACTAGTCTTGGTGCACACTTCTTAGAATTTCTGAAGAAATTTAAATAATATATATATTAATTCTTGATTTTCAACCTTTTCGTAGCAGTATTCAGTTTTCATAATAATAATTATGTTGGTTTTTAAGACTTTCTGGGACAAATGTAGTTAAACGTTAAGCTGACAATGATTCTTTGCTTCTCCTGTATTATCCCAGTTTTTAGACATTGGCAACCTGAATCATTTATTATATCTTGTTACTTACTTGTGGAGCATATGTTACCCACTAACATACTCTTTCCTGGGCTCTCCCAGTTTTTCCCAATTTCTATTCATGCCTTTGATGTCTGCCCCCGATTCCCGGTGTAATGTTTCCTTTGGTCTGCCACTTTTTTATTTTGCTTTGATAATTTTAAGCTAGGGCTTGTTTGGTGAAGGAGTTTGATGATTTCCTAAATATGCGCACTATTCACCTCAACCGCCTTTTAGTAATTTCCTCTTCAGCTGGGAGTCAGACTATTCTGTAACATAATAGGATGTTGCTTATGGTGTTAGCCCAATGGATCTGATTATATTATCTAACTACATGAATATCTTATTTGATTAACTTTCTACCTACATAACAATCAACTGACCACCAGCTTTTCAAATGTATTTTGTTAATCTTGCTTATTTTGGTTGAAAATATGAGAATAAACAAAATAAATCAAAATAGAAATGTATGACTTTTTTTATCAAGGGTTTTGGTAACAATCTGACAAAGAAAATGATTATGGCGTATTGCAATTCACAGCGTTCAATGTTCTTATCTTGTAAAATTCAGTGAATTTCCATATCTTATTCGTTTCTTTTTGGTTGCTTATATTCTTATTTCCCTTAGTGTATTGATCGATAATTATCAAAAAATATAGATATATTTACTCTAAGCTCTTACGTTTGCAATCTGAGTGTAATTGAACCTGAGAAAATATTTAAACTTTTAAAATTAATTTACTCATATGGTAACTTGTTTTCCGTCCTTCATATTAGCTCATAGTCGAATGGCTATCTGGCAATTTACACACCATAAAGGACGCAAACTAGGTGTGGAACGATTAAATTATACTCTCCAGCCAGATCCGGCAAGTTTACCATTTGATGAGACATTGATCAAAACTAATACTAATAGTGTATCGCCATCATCACAATCTACTGAAGGAGTTACTGAACGATTTTTAGCATCACAAAACTTAATAACTGCCCACTTATCTCAGTCTCCTATAGAGCCAGCTTTTCCATTCCTACTTGGAGATTTATACTCTGTACCACAACCATGTAAGTGTGTAAATATCCATTTATTTTCCTCTAAAATGATAAATTGAAACCAATGCAAATTTATGTTCCCGTTCGAATACACATTTAGCCGTAAAATAACATAAACTAAGGATTACTTTTTTTAACTAGTTGTGATCTATTAAAAAAGTGTACATTACAGTACTGGACAGCTGTGTATTGCTCTGTTTTTCAGTTATTATTTAACTAAGGTCAGGCAGTGATGCATACATGTTCACGTAAACATCCTAAGTTAACCATCATATAAGACAATAATCATTTCAAACAATATCTTAGCTTCAGGATGGATTTCCTGGAGTTCAAGTGGGAAACCGTGGCCAGTGGAGTTCAATCCGTGTTGGGTGGAGACAGTTATTCACTTCAGGCAATAGATGATGGGTTGAGCAAGATCATGGATCAACTGAAGTTAGACATTAACACTGTTGGATGTATGCTTAGTGGTCTAAAGGTTAATCGTTCGCGCGTGAAACCGAAAGTCTTAGGTCCAAGTCTTGCGTATACGATCATGGATGCGTACTGTTGAGGAGTTCCATATTAGAACGAAATGCTCGTGTACACTATTTTATTATTCTTTTCCATTTGGCTTTTCACTAAACTATCATATTCCTCTTTCCTTCGTGTGTGCGCTAATTTTTATGTGGTTTAAGGGTTACATGCTTGTTTAATAAAATTTGTTTAAATCGTTAAATATTAAAACTATTTCCATAATTTTATTCAATTTCAACTTCAACACTAAAGAATCATTTATTTAACTAACAAGAATTAAATTTAAATCATTTTGATGGGCTGAATGCTTTCACTATTTGTCTAAATACTTTGTTTATTCATTATACTTATATTAAGTAGTATCTATTTTGAAAATCATTGTGTTAAAAGGTATATATTATTTTCAGTATACTATTTATTTACGTAATGCCATTCGTTAACAATTCATCCCTTTAATAAATTGATCATTTAGAAGTTATGTAATTTGTTGATCAGGTAATAGATGGTAAATACGGTGTATTAGTTTATATGTATTCATGTATGTTTTATGTAGTTGCTGCGAACAATCGATTTTGTTTGTGTACATTCTAATATCCATTTAATATAATACAATAATAATAATAATTTTGATTTAATGGTAAACAGAAATTTTGTTAGATATTTAAAGATTTAAAGATGTAAGCATATTATGAAGTTAACTAGGTACTGACTATCTAGTTGTTGTATTCGGCTTCTGAATTGCTAGAACAATGAGCAAAATAATCTTTCTCATAACTGAACTTAAGCTTTTTACTTTAAGAGATGAATATCTATTAGTAAAAGGTTATAGAGATTGATGAGTTTTAATTGAAATCATGAATCGATCAGTGTTAGACCATCATTGTAAGCCTGGAAGCACTAGACGGCCGTTTAATCTTATTATAAAACTCCTCAGCAATGCGCATCCATGATCCCGCATGCAGGATTCGAATATCTATTAATATTCAAAACACTATTTGATGTAATGTGATGTATCTATGACTCTAGATATGTGAGTGTAGAAGAAATGCGATTTTCCAATCGCATCCCCAGAATTATGAAAACATGCCTAGATTTTTTAGTATACACATGGAATTATACGAAATATTATGATCATTTAGAAAGGAGATCTATTGAAACCCATTGAAACCTCATAGCCTTAATAACTTTTTTTCGTAACATCTCGTAACCGTTCTACTGCGTTTCTTGAATTTATAGCTTTTGTAGAGCATTTACTCTTTCAAGGCTTCCAAAAGACTATTAAGAAATCTGAGTTTGAAATTCTGTTTCGCTTCTGATCACCTAACAGCTACTGTGTGTAGACTGAAATATTGTAGGCTCCTCTATTGGTGATGAACACCGGTGTCGTAAGAAATTTGGTCATAAATGATTACAAATAAATTATGTCACTGAATTGACTCATTTTATTTTGAATAAAACCAGTGTATCATTAAATCAGTTTAAGAAGATATACAGCCAGTGAAAGGTTTCTGAAAGAGAATATGCAGGCTTGTTACTAATTATAGAAGACATTATGTGATGGTCGACATGACAAGCTGTGAGTCATATATGATGAAATTCGAACATTTCACTTCTACCTGAAGTTCGTGCTGATGATGTTATTCAGAAGAACAATGAAATCTCCATAAGCAAACCATCCAGCTCAGAGAATGAAACTCCACTCAATAGGTTTTAATTTGCATCATACCTACGACTTTTATCAACATTTAGTAAGTAACCGACTTAAAAGTCTCTTATGGCAACCAGTAGTAGTTTAACATTTTTAAGGTCATACTAAGACATTTTCATTTCTTCTTAATTATACCTTACAAAATTACTTGTAATATTATTAACTAGATGAAGTCATCACTTAATTAGTTCTTTGAGTAGAAGATAGTTTTCAAATCATGTTATACCATAAACACTAGTGAATTCCTACATATAATTAAATTGTGTTGTGTATTATTACTACTTTTAATAATACTGATCTTCTTATATAATAACAAGTTCATTATCCATATATATTTTGAGTTATTTATATCAACATATTTCACACTATTCTTATGATGCTGTCATGCTGTAAGAATACAAAATCTGACATGAAAATAAACATATGAACTAATTAGAAAAATATATACCTTCCTTATTTATTCACTTGATATTTTCATATGAAGTTTGATTTAATAGTGAGAAAAGCTGGATGGTTTGGTCGTGGAGCTTTCATCGTTCTTCTGAACGACATTCCAAAAACACCAGGGAATTTTTAGAAGCCTGGCACTCAGGTCAATCAGCAATCAACAAGCATATTGAAATCAATCCAATTTATCAACCAATCAGAAAAGTCATGCACAAATATAGGAACAAAAATCAAACCAATGGGAGACACAACCAAAACAAACTAGTAAACAATGATAAATTTAAGGTCAATAAGAACCAATCAACATGGAGGTGTACAGAACAATCTGTGAAACGAACATGGAGGAATTCGAACACTTCACTTCTATCTGAAGTTTGTGCTGATGATGTCGTTCAGAAGAACGATAAAAGCTCCACGACCAAACCATCCAGCTCAGAGAACAAAACTTCATCAAAATCATCCAGCTGAGCTACAAATCTTCTCCGTCACCCTTAACCAAAGGTTATAGAACTGTAAGAAAAGTTAACAACTTCATATCAGTTAGGTAATAAGTGATCATAATTTTGAAAAGAATTGAGTAGAACTGTTCAAAAATCAAATAATAGATCCGTTTTTTTGTCGACTCCTTTCAACTACTATTTGTTAGCAGAGTATTTCGTTTAAATTATTGGTCACACTGATATTTTTGAATGAAGTATTATACTCAGTAATACTTGTTAGTCTACCAGTGCTTAAAGTTTTATAATAAGTAATAATGAACAAAGATCATTAATGCTGAAAACAATATTGGCTTATTGAGTTTGTAATTTTTATTCATTCAATCATTTTTATATCATGATATTTCAGCCCTGTTTCTCATCATAACTCAAATACCGTCTGTTTATATTTGGGAAGGATGGTGGCCTATATCTACTTTAACAAGATCTCGATTTATGTCACAAAAGTTATCGAGATCTTTTTCAACTTATAGCAAGTCTCCTTCTATTCCAGGAGATCAAACAGATGATTATAGATGGAGTACATCATTAGATGAATGTTTTGAATTTAGTCCACAAAATTCAGCCGATGGATCTTTTGATTTGAAGAAAATGAACAACCAGCTTTGACGGGACAGGTCGTGCTCGATTTTGTGCTGTACGCAAAGCTGCAATGCATACCGCTAAAGCTCTAGCAGATAAATGTAAGTTGGCTATTACAATTCATTTCTGTCTAACCAAACAAAAATGTTTTAAATTACTTACGCTAACGATAAAGACGATGTTGTATTGTATGTTATACTTCTGTAAACTGATTATTTAATGCATAATTATTACCAGAAAACTAGAAATATCTAAACCTTAATTTGAGGTTCCTGAGATCTATTACAAATAAAGTCTGAATGAACTCATCGATGACAGCATTGACAGTATAATAACAGTTTGGTGTACAATCTGAAGAGTTATGAAATCAGTTATCATAGTATCCATGAGTAAAATATAATATCAATTCGAAATCAGTATATGGGGAATGATAATCCATGTGTTAAAAAAACCAATTTTTTTCTTGTAAATAATCAGAAATTAAGTTATAAGAAGTGAATTATTCGCTAACAAATGTATTCTCCAATCACTCTGAATCATGTTTTATAAATTTAGGTTTGGATAACTAACTAGTTAAAGTCACCAGCATATTCACACATAATGTCTAGGTTAACGACTAGTTTATGAATTCATACATGGTTAGTTATTTCCATTTCATTATTAATCAATAATCAGATAAACACAAATGATAATTCAAACGTGAAAGTGATAAATTTATTGACTAGATATATCATTTATATCAGAAGGGGTTTTGTGGAGATTTTTAGAAATTTCACAGGTTGAAATCATGAGTCAATTGAAGCTAGACCACCATGGAAAACCTGAAAGCACTGGACGGCCGTTTCGTCCTAGCATGGGACTCCTCAGCAGTGCACATCCACGATCCCGCACTCCACGGGATTCGAACCCAGGACCTACTGGTTTCGCGCGCGAGCACTTAACCACCAGACCACTGAGCCGGCAACCAATGGTGTTAATGTCTAACTTCAACTGATCCACGAAATTGAGCGACACATCCACCATTGTCATCAGTGAGTTACTATCTCGCTTGGCGCGAGACTGACAGGTCCTGAGTCCCATAATAGGAAGAAAAGACCGTCCAGTGCTTCCAGGTTTTCCATGGTGGACTAGCTTCAATTGACTCATGATCTCAACTATATCATTTATAAATGAAAAGGTAAATTCTCACATAAGCCTTAATTCCCAATGTTTTGTTATGGTTAAAAATTAAGGTTAACTATAAAGACTACTTTCACATATGATTCTATTTAAATCAGTATATATTAATTATTATGGAATGCAGTTGGAGTACTTCAGTACAGCTTTATTTGTTAAACATTCATTTATATTCTTTTTTATATTCTCGTAATCTAATAGATGGTATTGTCATACATATCATGCTATTGCATAAAGTGGAAATATGCTGGTTAAAGCTTATTTTAAGCAATATACATAATAAGCATTTACTTATGTTATCTCATTAGCTTCATCTAGGGTACAAACAATATGAAATAATTTGTTAATTCATAGGTTGAATTCATTTTGTTTTTTAGTAAATATCAAATGTCATAACATTATAGTATACGGAATATTAACTATTACTATGTTAGAAATACTTAAAGTTTTCTATTTACATACATCACATGATCTGATCTGTTGATTAAGACCATCTAACGGCTTCAGTTAAAGCTATCCTTATGGATGACTTTTTGTTATCTAGAAGATAATTAGTGGGTTTAATTCGTTTTTATGTTGGTTGCTTGGATCTTCTCATTGATTTTCAGGATTGTAATTGATCAGTCTCTTATTAATATGTGTACAACCTGTGCGGATTACCTTGATATTGTCTGAAGTTACAGTCATTATAAGCAGATATGGGTGGTAGCTAGGAGTAGAATCGAGGATGAAGGTTTCATCCTATTTGGGACTCGTCAATCGGATGTACCTAAATCTCAGTTTTGATTTTCACTCCAGGACTCGAGCCCAATGCTGTTGTGAAAAGTCAAACAGCCAATACAGTAGTGAATTAAACTTCACCCCATCGCACAAGCTAGTAGTCATCTGAACTCAAAAGCTAAGTGGATAACGCGATGGTATTTGCAGCGAACAGTACTGGGTTTGAGTCTCAAAGTAAACATCAAAATTCTGAAATGCAGGTGCATCCAGCTGAAGAGTCCCAAAAAGGATGAAACGCTCGTCCTCGATTCTACTGCTACCCACTTTCATTTCTCTTCACTTGGTATTGTTTTGCTTGTATCTTCCCATTGAGGTTTAAGACTGAAATTGATCAGTCTGTTATTGGCATATGTGCATACTGTGCGTATGCCTCAATATTGCCTTAATTCACAAGCTTTTTTAGGCAATGATGGATAGCGGCTAGCAGTGGAATCCAAGACGCGCGTTTCGTCCTATTTGGGACTCGTCAGCTGGATGTACCTGCACCTCAACATTGATGTTCACTCTGGGACTCGAACGCAGTACCATTCGCTACAAATGCCATCGCGTTATCCACTTAGCTACTGAGTCTTGACAGCCACTTGCTTGTGCAATGGGGTGAAGTTGAAATTCACTTGATATTGTTTACTTGGATCTTCCCATGGATGTTTAGGACTGCAACTGGATTGTTAATAAAGATAATTAAAAAGTTTCATCATGCCGGTGCGTTTACTAAATAAAACTATGCGGTCTTCACAGTTGATAATTCAACCTACTAGTAAGAGATTAATCGCCGGAAAACTAGATGATTAAAATGTTATTTCTAGGAAATCAGCTATAACAGAAATAAACATATAGGAGTTGTCTACTATCCTTCTTTGAGTATTACGAGATCGATGTACCTGCGAGTACACCCAGCTGACGAGTCCCAAATAGGACGAAACGCGCGTCCTGGACTCCACTGCTAGCCACTATCCATCACCATCATTTCTGTTTATAATTAATATGTTTAGAAAGATATTCACTGAATTTAAGCATCTACTTTTAAAACTTCTATTCTATTTACGAACACGTTTCCATTGACTAATAATGTTTTCCCTTCTTAAATTTGTATTCTTCACAAATTTCAGTAGGTACAAAAGCTTATTTAATCTACGCTGGCTTAGAACCACCGGAATTTTTAGTTTTATTCCCTCCTTATGTTAGATCGACAGATGCAATAGCTTATCATCAATTCGAAGTAAGTAATATGAACAAAAAATGGCATTATTTTGTACTTCATTTATGTCTACATATTTATTTGAATTACATAAAATTTCTCATCTTTGTATCCTTTTATAATAAGTGATTGCTTAATCTTATCTTACGGTTATCTTACCTGACGAATTTGACCCTATCTGTAAATGATGGATTGAAAGTTTTTGTTCTATAACAAAATGAAGGGTAGTTCCAGACACTTGAAACATCATTGTTCATCAATAATACATTGACTCATGTGTGCAAAAATTTACTACTTTAATACTTAGTTCCGGATCTTTATATATAGCACTTACAAATGAATAAATAAAAAAACAGGTTTTCTAATATGAAAATGTTATATGTTGCTAATATGAATCAAACTGTGTTTCTTTATTCTGAATGTGATTTGAAACTTCAGCATTTTATTATTGAACAAGTTAACAGTGACTACGCATATACCTTTCGATTGTGTTAAAAATATACTATCTAGTAAGTTAGTTCTTCTAGAAATTATAATACGATATCAGTCCCTAGAACTATATACTCAAGGATATTTTAATTACTCCTAACAAACTATCAGTCGACTGAATGTAAAATATCGTTTCTAAGTGGGGCAATGTGATTTCACGTTTAGTTTCTTACATTCATAATGAAACTATTGTTATCAATATCAATTGGTAATCAGGTAAACTAGTTTAGATGGAATACCATTCTCTTCTGAACGTTAACTACTAATCATTGTACTTTAAGAAAAATTCAATCGAAGCATTTATAACACCTAGGGATATTTAACCTAAATTTATAATTTAATCAAATGTTATTTTTATTATTTTAATTATTATGCATATATCAGCTGTTTGGTTGTACACACTAAAGAAACTGAAAACCACTTAAATTGATTATCAAGTCAGTCATTTATTCAAATGACCTCAAACTTTTATTTAATCGGATGTATACCATCTTTATCTTCCCTTAAATTGTGAGATTAAAATCACTTCGTATCTTTCTTTCTACGAACTAATTCTTTCTTTACATAAAATCTTTCCTTTATATATTACACCACTGAGTTAACTGCTTCTATGAATCCGGTGTTTTCACCTTGCTGTGCTAATAAGGTGTGGCAACTTGGACCGATGCATGTATTTGCCTGGTCCTACGTTGTAACTGATTGACTGTTTGAATTTGTAGTCAAATGGTGTTATCGAACTTCTGGTGTGAATTCAGAATATTATTTCATTTTGAAAGTTCAAGATACATTATTGTTTGTACTGAGCATATTATTGTTATCATTATGTTAAACAACATTTTTAGAGCTTTATTTAACTATATTTCTGAAAGTTTCCTAGCGAAACCATTTAAACAGAAGAAAGTACGATTAAACGTCAAAAGTAAAGTGTAACCTTTTTTAAAAAGAAAGTTTAGTTAGAAAAAATAATCAGATAAAAATGACCAGCTGATGCCACATTGTCAGAATAAATAGATGAAAATAGGCAAGCTTAATTTTGGGCTTTCAACTTTCATACAACTTTAATATAGTTTATAGTTAAAGTTATTAAATTTAGATCTATTGAAATGAAGGTTGATATTTAGCTAGTACTATGGAACCTAATGGTCGAGATTTCTATTTGATATGTAACACAGTGTGAAGATTTATAATTTGTGTCAGCCCAATGTATTTAATATTTTTACATTTTTAACTGACAAAATGTGAATATTTTAATAAATAGGTTTGTCAGAAATACATTCTTTGAACTAAAAACTTTGTCATTTGTTTAGTAAATGACATCTCACTGGTTATCATCTTTTGGGTTTGCTTTGTAAAGTATTCCTAGAGAAATTAACCCATACCAACATATCTAGACTTGTTCGACTGAAAAACTACAGATATTGTAGTTAAAAACGGAGATAATTTTCTGAAACTCCTTTTTTGCTAAGCAAAAGTTTCATTCCAAACGAAACAGCTGTCTAATGCTGCCCTTTCATTTTCACTGATCATTCAATCACTTCGTGATGCGAATTACTCTTAGATTGATTGATTTCCACAAACATTATTAAATTTAAGTTTACTATTAGGCTGAGAGATATTGTCCAGGAATATTGATAATGCATAGTAAGGAATCGAGTTAATAAAACATTTATCCAAAGTATTAGTTAATTTCTTGATTAAAAAACACATTTATTCAAAATATCACTAAAATAATATCCCACGGAACATGTGCAGACACCTTTATAGACATCTTCATTTTCTACGCTGTCAAATCGCTTGCTACTATAACATGATTAATATTTAATTCGCTAGCTGAACCGTTGCATTTGAATCTCAACTAAAACATCAGCTCCCTAATGACTACAATTTTCAATTAGTTCTGAGTCTAAGACTCCTGTCAGTTCCCCTCCAAGCACCTAACATTTGACATAGTACACCTCTAGACGTAGAGTCATGGTATAAGTGGTCACATTGCTACTGGATTAATAGAAGACAGTCAGCACTAAAAGTTAGACAATATGAAATTAATCCACACTCTGTAATGATTAATGTATTCTTGGATACCTGTTTATCTCTTAATCTGTCTGTTAAATTAGAAAAAGCTAATGGATTTTAAAACATTTAACCAAAGTATATTAATCACCATTTTTCATTGATTTAAGTCAAGGAAAAGACTTTTGGGGTTTAATGTTAAACTTTTTTTCATTCATTTAAATACCATTTCAATGAAGTTAAAACTTCAAGCATCAAATTTCACCAGTATGAAAGGAAAATCTGCTTATTATACAAATTGTCTCATAAATATCATATTTCTTGAATATTAAGTCCCAATATCTGCGTTTTGCATTAATAGAAATTGTCTTCATAACAACAAGATAAATATTGAAACTTTGATATACAAATGTTCATTTGTATACAAAACTCAATACAAAAAAATGACATAAGCTTAAATCACTTTGAGCATGGTTTGTAATTTATGCAACTAACATTAACAACAAAGTCATTACTTACTTTTTTCTTAGGTTCATCAAAGTAGTATTGTTTTATTACGCCCATTTTGTGATTGTCTTCATTTTCATTGTGTTTCATTTTATTGATTCGGGTATCTTTCATTCACCCTAGTTAACGGATATCAGAATATTTTAGTGAAAAAAAATTTTCCAATACATGTGTGGAATTGCGTTAATTCTTCCTAATTATGCTTGTTACTCCTCGTGGAGAAGCATAGGCCACCCACGGTACATTGTTTTAATATAAACAATGGTTATCCGATGAGAATATTAAATATTACCTTACAAAAAAACAAAAAGAGGAAAGTGCTTTGTATGTTGTAGCTTATGTATATTTGGTTAAGCTAATTATTGTAATAGCAAAAAGTAGCCTCTCATTTTGAAACTGATAGTCTAAATGTTTCAACTGTGATATTATAGGGTATAGTTTAACCGATCTTCAGAGACGCTTGTACTTATATATCTGTAAAATCTAGTTACATGGAATTTAATAACTAACTGCTGTTGTAGTGTGCTATTGATGTCGAGGGATATAAGTAGTATGTATCATCAGTCGAAAGTGAGATGTCTGGCGGCAGAAGGTTAGGAATATCAAAGAAAAGAGAACGAGAACAAAGAATGATTCGTGTGGAAACGAAAAACCAATGAAGTTTTAGATGATTGACTGATATTTGCAAAGGAACAGTCAAGTTTGAGACAATTGATTGACATTGCAAATGAAGTATTTTCTGTATGGTTCTCAGATTTTACTAAGATGTTCTGTAATTTTGTATTCAAATATATTCGATAATTACATTATCCTAAAAACCTCGAAGAACAGAGTTAAACTGAAGTCTATTAATTGTTCATCGTTTCATATTTTTCATTGAAACCTCAGTGGATGGTAGTTACCAATAAAAATTTCTTGAAAAACAAATAGTTTTTTTATAACGCACAACCCTTACCCATAGAGACTAAGCGGACTTTAAAAAGAATACATCTTATATTTACCGAAATTATTGTCACATTAATTTCCCGTTCACTAAGTAAGAAGACTAAGTATGTTTAATTTCAAATAGAATGTTCTTTCCATCTAATTAATAGATTAGAAGTAGTGGAAAAATTGCAGTTTATACAGCTGAAGCATCTGTATGTTTTTCCACTACTTTCTAAGCAATCAATAGAAATGTATGGATTAGGTGAAATACCGTAGAAATTATATGTAGATGTTAAGATAAAGGTTTATGAACAATATGTTCACTTATTGTTCTTCTTCTTTGTGGATCTTCTGATAAATGATAACAGCAATAAAGTTCATAACCAAGATTTTCTACCACCAGTAAAAGATGTTCTAAGATCTAAAGCTATAAATCAGTGTATTGTGTCAATTAAATTAGATTTTATCTTATCAGATATTCTTTATTATTTCACGATAAAACGTTTTTATATCCGTACACCTGAGCTATTCACTGATTTATCATTATATTTAAGTGGTGTTTTACTCGATTTAAAATTTAAGTATCAGCCAATTTATTTCCTGGGTAATTTTTTGAAATATCATTGATACAAATAATTGATTAATATCAGAAGGATGTTTGTGGATATTATTGTAAGTTCAATGGTTGACATCATAAGTCCAATGAAGCTAGACCACCATGGAACACCTGAACTGATAGGTCTTGGGTTCGAGTCTCGCTGGGCGGGATCATGGATGCACACTGCTGAGAAGTCCTATAATAGGACGAAACGACCGTCCAGTGCTTCCAGGTTTTCCATGGTTGTCTAGCTTCAATTGACTCATGATTTCAACCACTGAATTTACAAATAATTGAATTTAACTTTCGGAATTTTTTCTATTCAACAAAATTCGGCGAAACTATAATTTATGGACGAACCGATCAGGTATAATATAATAGGTCTCGTATTTTTGCGCGAAATTCATCCATTTTTCCCTAAATAGAGTTTTGGCATTATAGTTGATGTCAGTTCGTGATGAAAACTCTAAATTTAATTCCTAACCCTAATCATCAACTGTAAACCATAATTCTAATTCCTCACACAGGCTTATAACCCTTATTTGGTCCTAGTTATTAGGTGAACACTCTCATGGTCACTTTAGTGCCGCTCAAAGATTGTCGATAAATTATAGTCTCACTCAAAATTCATTCCTCTAATGTTTAAAGACATGTAAAGTAAATAAGAATCATAGACAATTTTGATATGATATCATGTTGAATTAGAATAAATTTACTTGTTTTTATTCATATAGGATATTTATAAATTATGTATAAACTTTTCTTTATATAGTAGATATGATAAGTGTAAAATAATCTTTGACAGATTTATGTCAATTTTTAAATAAGAAATTTAACCGTTGTTGAAAGAAGTTAAGAGTTAATTAGACTGTTACTACCATATCACTGAATACTTTATACTGGTTTCGAGTTTATTCTTTCATGAACATATATCTTAGCGTGAATATAAATATTCATATTATTGATGAAATAATATTAATAATATCATAGCTATAAGATATTTGTCGTGCATGGTGGACAGCTGACAAATGCATTCCAAATATGGACCGGAGTCAGACAAAACTGTCTACTCTCTCCCTTCCTCTTTCTCCCAGCGGTCGACTGGATTATGAAGACCTCGATATCTGGGGGAAAACACGGAATACAATAGACAGCTCAGAATCAATTAGACGATTCGGACTTCACCGATGTCCTAGCCCTTCTATCCAATACACACGAACAAATGCAGATAAAGACAGACAGTGTAGCAGCAGTCTCTGCATCAGTAGGCCTCAACATAAACAAGGGGAAAACCAAGGTCCTCAAATACAACACGGAGAACACCAACCCAATCACTCTTGATGGCGAAACTCTGGAAGATGTAGAATCCTTCACATACCTAGGAAGCATCATCAATGAACAGGGAGGTTCAGATGCAGACGTAAAGGTGAGGATTGGTAAAGCAAGGGTCGCATCCCTACAATTGAAGAACATATGGAACTCAAAACAAATGTAAACCAATATCAAAGTCAGAATCTTCAATACCAACGTCAAGGCAGTCAGTTCTACTGTACGGAGCTGAAACTTGGAGAATTACTACAACCACCATCAAGAATGTACAAGTATTTATAAACAGTCGTCTACGTAAGATACTCAACATCAAGTGGCCGGGTACCATCAGCAACAGCCTACTGTGGAACAGAACAAACCAGCTTCCAGATGAAGAGGAAATTAGGAAAAGACTATGGAAATAGATAGGACACACATTACGTCAATTACCAGACTGCATCACGAGGCAAGCCCTAACATGGAATCCTGAAGGGAAGCAGAAATGAGAAAGGCCAAAGAACACATCACGTCAGGAAATAGAATCAGATATGAAAGAGATGAATAACAACTGGAAAGAGCTATAAAGAATTGCCCAGGACAGAGTTGGATTGAGAGTGCTGATAGGCGGCCCATGCTCCTCCGTGAGGAGTAACAGGTGTAATTAAGTAAGTATAAGATATTTCTTATTATCCATAAGTAACCAAAAGATAATTTATAAAATACAAACAGTTCCACAGTTACAAACGGGTTGAATTGGTGAGTTTATTAAAATCGTTACCTTACTATTATAACTGATAGGTTAAGTTGTTTGAAGATGGAACGAGTTTTTTTTTAAAGTAATTCATTGCATAGTATCATTTCTGTTATCACCAAGATTCTATCAACAGATAAGTTTACTAACTATTTTATTAGTTTATTTTCTATTTTCTTCATATATTTAAATATATTTTCCACATATTATTCAGGATGGTAAAACTGATGGTCAAAAAGATTTAATTGACAGTTTACTATCATCATATACCTTGGCTTCATATACATTGAGTGATCTTCAACAACGTCCTCTCCCACCTGAACTGGATGCAACCTGTTTAGAAACGTATTTAGATGATAAAACCTTCGAAGTAAGCTATACAAATACTCATTTGTAGTTTTTTCCTTCTTGATTGATTCAACAAATTATTTTAAGTGTTGTAAAAGAGTTTAACGAACGTATAATTTTTACTAATCTTTCTGATCCATTCTATGAGCTATCCCTCTGTATAAGACTCAAGTATAATAATAAATGAGAGTAATACATTTGTAATCAAAAACTTCGGACAAAGACTACTCTGTGAGTTGATAATTACAAGAAAAACTGATTGAAAGATCTTTTCAAAACACTTCTTACTGTTTATATGTGTAGAATTGTATGTAATAGACAGTGAAATGTCTCTTTGAGAATTTAAATAATAAGGTATAGTAATGGCTTGAATGTGAAGAACAATATTTATCTAGTGTATTCTTGTAGGTGTGTTTTGTACCTTCATTCAGTGCAGTCCATCATGGTGAAGTACTGTGTAAGTATAATACTTCGTAATCATATATATAAGTATATACTGTTTAAATTAAGTAGACAATTGTGTGAATGTTTTTCCCTTTGCCTACTTCTGTTCATTCCTTCGATGGAAAAAAGAAATGACAAGAAAACTGAGCTTTTATCAGAATAATTCCTCATATGACAATGACTTACTGAATATTTCACTTAGATGGTTAGATGTAATCTATTAAATTCAAATTCTATTTCATTATACATAAATATCAAATGAATAAACTGAGCGGCATAAAACCGCCTTCATCGAAAATACAAACATTGATCATTATGAAATACAATTGAATACTGACAATGATTGGGCTATATTTTAACCCTTGAATTTCAATTCAATATTCTATTTATTTATACTTATAATAATCTCAGTAATCGAAATTGAAAATAACTCCAACATAACATTTAACAGTCTGCTTTGTGCATCTCCAAGCTAATGGTTTTGAATTTCAATTACGTAGATGTTTACAAATATCATTTCCTATAAAATGAATTCGAATTTATTGCAACTCTATATATCACCATAGTCGATGATTAGGTTCTCATCAATGAAGAATAATATCATAAAAAATTGTTAGTTTGACTCTATTTAGTCTAATACCAGGCTAAAACTTTATACCGAATTGTATTACTAGTTTATTTGTCAAAAACTGAGATAATTCAACAATTTGATAACAAAAATAGATTTCCATATAACAATGTACTGATTAATTTTACATTGAGATTATTAGCCGATCAATTTTAGACCATCAGTGATAAGCTGGAAGAAGTTGGCTGCTGTTTCGTCCCAGGGCAGGACTCCTCAGCAGTGTACATACACAGTCCCGCACACGAATGCTTAAGCTCTAGACTACTGACCCGACGTTCAACGATGTGAACGTCTAACTTTAACCAATCCACGACATTTAGCGACTATCTTTCATTACCTTCAGTGGGTAACTGCCTCTCACTTGACATGGTTGACGTCCACTAGTTACCACGGGTTTGTGTACGAGACCGAAAGTCTCGGGATCGAGTCGTGCGTATGGGATCGTCGATATGCACTGCTGTAGAGTACTAAACTAGGACGAATCGTCCGCCTGGTTCTTCCGGTTTTTCACTGGTGGTCTAACATTGATCAATTTATGACCTTAATTAAAACTCAATCATCTCCACAACCCTGTACTGTTGATAAACAAAACAAAGTAAACAATATGAATAATTATCAATAAACTGACACTATTTAAATAATCGATATAATGTTACATAACGATCAAGGGATAACTATGAAATACTGATCTAACTAACAAATCCAGGAGTTTTATGATTTAATTTTTTTCTTTAAACTTTTGATTTTCAATTACAGGAAATATTTTCAATGTCTAGAGAAGATTTCAATAAATTACCAATATGGAAACAGGCAGAAATGAAAAAGTATTCAGGTTTATTCTAACTGAATTCTCGACTTGTTTAAATTATTCAAATATATGTGTATGCATATATATGTATAAGCCCATGCACAATCTCACATAAAGATATACACATATCATTACAACATTCACAATATTATACTGAATTGTATCATATACACATGAAGACGAAGAGATTCTTTGAGTTACATATTATTATTTCACATTTTTGTGAATACATATACCAGATAATACATATAATTGTATAAATACAATACCATCAAACAATCCCGGAAGTGATGACCTTGAATTTATCGAATATTATCATACCCTCTGGAATGTAAACCAACTTTAGTTTGAAAAAACAAGATTCATATACATATACATAGATACATATATATAGACATTTTTATCTCATTGACTGACTTAATTTTGCTACTATTTGAAAGGTATAAACTTATTTTATGCAACTATTTTTTATACACTATGGCTACTTGTGAAATAAAAAGACTTATAGGCTGATTCGTGTTACTACTATCATTATTATTACCACTGTTATTACTAACTATGTAACTGCATAAAACATAATTTTCATCATTCAGTTTGTTTATTTTTCTCACACTTATCCATTGTCCATATTTATGAATGCCTTATTCTCAACTTCAATATACTATGCATGTATTAAACACTTTATATGATCTATCATCCATTCTGTGTTAGGGTTAAAAACAGAATACTCGAATAAGTGAATTCTTTATTGGCTTTCAATAGTGATATTCCATCTTCTTTCTTTTTTTTTAATTCAAACAAACAAAAACCTATTACTCATACATAGAGATAGATCTAAAACATAATATAAATAAAATCAATGGCACAATCATAAGAATTCATTTGCATAACTTTCATATTCATTGTCTTTCATAGTTTATGTACAACATATATATATATATAGGTAAACACATTCAGTTTTAGTTTGTTTGTATTGTTTATATCATTCTATGCCTTTCTATCAATCAAGAGGTATTGACATTTCAGCTACTTTTGTTCTGTATTCTTCTTCTTCTTCTTCTTCTACTACTACTACTACTACTACTACTACTACTCCTTCAATGAATATCAATTACAAGAAAAGTATATTGAAGTTTATAAAAAAAAAGATAGAAAATATCATTATAATCAATCATAATTGTGCCTTTGTCACTATACTTACCATTATATCGATTACTATTATTATTAATGTTGTTTTCATTGTCAATGTTTATCTGCTAATTTGTTTCAGATCATTTAATAAACTGAATTATTTTCATCATAATTAATAAACATTTACTTCTGTTAGAAAACAGATTTTCATAGTTCTTTTCAGTTGTGTAAGATAATCGAATTTTAAAAAGCTCGATTCATACTTTAGTTGAATTCATGAGTCAACTAAAGCAAGACCACCAAGGAACACCTGGAAGCACTAGGCGGCCGTTTCATCCTAGTATGGGACTTCTCAGCAGTGTGTACCCACGATACCTCCCCGCGAGGTTCGAACCCAGGACCTATCAGTCCTGCATGTGAACGCTTAAACTCTAGACCACTGAGCCGGCATACAACGGTGATAATGTCTTCATTAAGTTAATGTCTCACAACAGACCCGGTTGAACTCCAGTGGTCACTGCTTCCCACTAGAACTCCAGGAAATACCTCTTGAAGCCAGTCACTAGTGAGCGTAAGATGATTATTATCAAAAGGAGTTTTGTGGAGATTTTAGCAATTTTATAGTTGAATTCATGAGTCGATTTTTTGTCAGGTCAAGATAAACAGTCTACAGTCTGGAATGCAAGATTTTATAAGGCTTTCATTAATCTAACAGGAAAGTATAAATGGTTTTTGATCACCAGTATTTTAGTCAGATCATATCATTTTAATGGTTAAAAAATTAAGTGCTGGGTCCCTAGCAAGATAGAAACAATCCACCTTCTTACTACTAGTCTTGTACTATCGGCTAGCGATTATACAACGATTCTCTTCAATCCTGAGTTTCCACTTGTAACTTCAAACTTTATGGTTGTGAAACGAGAAAATCTTTGAGTTTTTCATTGATAACATTACTTGATCCACGAAATGATTGTATTTCATATACTTGAGCTAAACTGCTAATTAGCAATATTATTGTTCTATGTAATCACATTGTGAAATATATTGATAATATATCAGTATTCAAGTTGAAGTTGATGAGTATAAAAGAGAAAATAATCATCAGATGTTTTATTTGAATATATACCAATTAATTCAGGTATTTTGATTTCTTCTCTTATAAAAGTTACTGATTAGCTGAAACGTAAGATCATTTCTTTCAACAACAAAAAAAGATGAAAGAATTAGAAATATTTCCATTTTAATGAAATTATAACATATCAAGTAAAGGTGTTTTTAAGTTTAGTTTAGTTTTTGTTGGCTGGTATGTATAGAATCACATTGAATACAACTGTTTTCCGTATACTGAACGCTAGTTAAACATAAGACAATCAAGTATCTCTGAAGATAATTAGTTTCACTAACTTGTGTACGTTTTACTTATTTTGAATAAATTAAAAACAGAAATATTCTTCATAATAAATAATGTATATGAATAGCATCGTGCTTCGTGTTTTTGGTTCGGTACATAGCTTTAAGGGTATAATCCAAAAAAACACAACTGAGGTTAGTCTCATAGTTTTGTATACTAGTTATCACATGTACTTGTAAATTCTTAAACTCATTCAATGGCCAAAACTTATTCTGTGCTTTAATAGTCTATTTGACATCCAACTATGAAAATTTCTGGCTAGTAATACTTCGTTGTGGAATCAACTAAGTCAATTTTGCTCTGTATCAGACGTTCAACATCTTGCTACACTTATTTTCTATAAAGGCTATCGTTATAATAAGTTTACCTCAGTTAATCTACTGAGGATAAGTTTATTACTCTACTAAGAAGCATCTTGACTAAATCATGTATTTGAAGCAACGTTCAATTGACGAATCTTTCGTATTTCGCTGACTACAATCATGATTTATTTTTATAACGAAATCAGGAACGTATAATTGAATATTATGGATATGGAGCAATTTAAGTTTGATGATGGAATATTCATAGTCAAAATTAATAAATAGTTTTGCCATCAACGTATCTCAATTAATACCATATTCCTATGGTTACTGAAAACTACTGTGCATGTTGACTATAGTCTGAAAGTGTTAAGTAAAGCATACTCCAAGTGACAGACTTATCATCGCTTCATATCTTCTGTCTGTTAAGATGTGTGCGGAGCTGATGCTAAACATTTCTTCAAAGTAGTGGTACATATCATTTGTTAAATGACTGAACTAGTTTAAAGACCAACTCTTTAACAATGTTGTTCCATTCACTTGTATATATATAATAAGAGGAATAGTTCCTGAAATTTCAACTTTATTGAAGGTCATTCATAAGGAGTTTCAGTGAAAATTGAAAGCAATATTTTTAGTGTAAATTCATGCGAACAGACGTTTTGGTAGGCAATAATCTACATTTTATATATAAAGCAAAATGGGTGGTAATAACTATTTTTTTATTCATATCTGTAAACTATCTCTTCTCATTCAGAATTAAACCTCTTATGAACAATTTATTTCAAAATTTAAACTCTTTGAAACAAACTTGCTGGGTGATATTTTTGTTACCTAGATGTGTTAGTAACTTGTACTATCACGTAATGCTACTTCAGAAATAGATCAGTAAACAAGTGTGATTTTCTATATGAATGTTAGCAAAAGTAGCTGAATTGAATATTTAAGCTTAGCTCAATTAAGGTTAAGTGTACGATTTAGTTATTGCTCGATTTCGAAAATATCCAAAAATATTTCGACTTAGAGCAATCAAAGCAATTTATTACTACTGTGTAATAATGCAAATACTGTAGAAACATTATCATCTTGGTTGTTGATCAGGGTGCTACTTATCATCAAAGTGTACAGTGCTTTTAAAAAGTTATGAGAAATTTATGTCAATTCCGATCGTCAGAACCTTATAGATATAAGAGGATACATATTGCTAGTAAATATATTCTTAACACTGTCAGCATATGAATGAACCAGAACCAAGAAATGAAAGACAACAACAGTATAATGTGTCTAGCTCTCAATCTACGAGTATGCAACTCTTCTGCAATCTGGATTACGTAATCTCCAAGATGCTGATTTTAAAGGTTCTTAATGTTCTGGTGTAGATACGTTCGTAGAGTTTGACAGATCAATTTGCTGTTTAGTGCTCCGAGAGATAAAGAATAGTAGTCCTGTATGATATCAGATATACTGTAAGATTTGAAAAGATGAAAAATGTTTTGTCGTTTGCCTAAATATTGGCGTACATAAAATAAGTACTGGAGCTTTTAGACGGCAACTTATGTGACTTCATGCTTTCTCTTAATTGAAGACTGCAATTTTTTTCTTGATCTCTCACATTTCCCTATTCTAATTATTAATAACTCCTAATACTTATGATCAGGTTTAAAAATGAGCTTTAAAATGAAAATATCACATATAATTGATCACTGACACTTTATGGTGTACAAATCCATATGATTATATAAGATATTCGCGTATTCACCATGTACTTCTCAAATATATTGCTTTTCAAACAATAAAATCCTTACTTATGATGGCAACAATATTTATCACCTATAGATATTTTGTGCTTTTATCTAAACTACTTATGAGTAGTTAAACTTTATTTTTTAAATAGTGTTATGAAATAAGCCAAAGGTAAATTCATACTAGGATAACACATCTTAAGTTATTTAGAGAATTTCCAGCCTTTTGAGAGTTTCAAGAATGTTTTGATGGCTGTTTCTATTCATTGTACACCAAATAATTTAATTTGCGATCTCTATTCACTTGGGATAACTGAACTTACAGGTAACTTTCCTGATTGAACTTCATTTTCATTAAGACCAAAGGAAATATTATTGGTTGATACAAGGGCCTCGTTCATATACGACCAGCTATTCAATAGCATAAGGTAACCAAAAAGGTTGAAGTG